CACAGACCAGTGAAACTGAGAGGGAAAGGGGCAAGAATAAAAGAGCAGGGGGAACCAGCCGGGAGATGGAATAAAGTGTTACAGCAAAGCATGGAACTCTCAGGGCGGAGTGCCTTTTCATGGCAAGCACACGCTACAACAAGCGTGACAAGACAGAACTGTAAAAACAACGGCTTAAACCCCAAAACTGCACATGCACTGCTCGAACTGCCCTTCTCAGAGACTTTCGGGGAGTACTTCAGCTCTCCCCTCAAAGCCTTTTGGAAACGGAACTAAAACATCCCTCGTGAAGAACCGTTTACCTTGTAACAACATCCACAGTCCCGCACTGCACATACAGGACCGGGCCCCTGGTAACAACACCCACGGTAACCCATCCCTCCTAAAGGACCCGGGCTCCTGAAACAACTTCCAGGGTAAATCGCTGCACGTAGAGCACCGGGTCCCTTATGACGACACCCACAACAAAACACGCCACCAGGTCCCTTGTAACAGCGAAACACTTCCCCCTTTGCCACGCCCGTGCTCCCTGTCCTGTCCCCAGCGACGCCAGGAGTTCGCAGCCTTGGCAAACTCACGTTCCCGGGCTGCAGCTCCCAAGGGATGACGCAGCTATCCAAGCGCACGCCCGCGGGGCTGAGGGATTCCCCCCCGCGGGGCTGAGGGATTCCCCCCGCCCGGCGCAGCCAAGAAACCCGCCCGCCGCTCCCCCTGTCCCGGCCTCGGAGAGGCGGCGGCTCTCTGGGAGCACACGGGGAAGCGATGCCGCCTGCCCTCCGAGTGTGGGACAGCACACCTGCCGTCACTCCCCTCTCTCCAAAGAGCTTCCACCGAGCAACCACCGGAAAGACCCAATTCCCAGCATGTGGGGCTCTTTCAATGGTGCTGTGAAACACCTCCCTTTTTGGGTTGAATAGCGGTCTAACAGCAGCAGGAGGCTGCCTTTGCCCATCCGAGCCTTGTCCCGAGCTCAGCTCAGCCCTCCAGAAGCCGCAGGACGGGTCATGCCCAGAGGAAGGGGGACTTACCGACGAGTCCCCTCACGGAACGGGCCCACAGTGCACCACAGTGAACCCTGCCACCCCCGGGAGCCGAGCCGAGCCGAGCCGAGCCGAGCCGAGCCGAGCCGAGCCGAGCCGAGCCGAGCCGAGCCCCCGCAGCCCCTCAGCGCCCTCCCGCCCTCACACCTCGAGATCCTGCCGGCCCCGCGGCGTCCTCCGCGACTCCCGGGAAAACCGCTTGCCCAGAGAGCGGCGCGTGCGCAGAGCGAGCGCGGAGGGCCGGCGCGCCAAAGGCGGTGAGGGGAGAGGGGCGGTGCGAGCCAGGAGGCTCTTTAGTGTGGCCTGGGCTAAGGTCCGGTCCTGGCGGCGCCATCTTGAGTGTGGCCTCGGGGCGAACTTCCGGGTCGGGGCCGCCATCTTTGACTAGGGCCTCGGAAGACTTCCGGTCATGGCGCCGCCATCTTTCTTTCGGGGCGGCCTCGGAGCACTTCCGGTTCGGGTGGTGCGCCCTCGAAAACAGCCCGGTCGCTCTCTACTTCCGGTGCCCCGCTTTACCCGGAGAACGACCCTCGCTAATTTCTGCGCTTTCGCCCCAAAAATCTTCACGTTATTCCCCCCGCGCACACCCCGGGAGAGACGGGAGACCGCAGCTCCCGCCGTGCCGCCGGAGCCGGCCCTCAAGTCGAGCGGGGAGCGCTGCAGCGGCCCAGGAGCCACTGCGCATGCGTCGCCGCTTGCCCTCGCCCGCCCGCCCTCACTTACCACGTGATCGCCGGCGTCTCGCTTACGACTGCGCATGCGCCGCCGCCGCCACCTTGCCTGCCCTTCCACACCATTTGACCACCAGGGAACGGGCGAGCGGCAAGGTTCGCTGCAGCAGCGCGTAGCTCTGCGACCCGCCGCCCTCGCTCCCGTGCTGCCCGTCAGCGGCAGCAGCGATTCCCGCGCGTCCCCCTGGGACAGGGAGAGCGGCCGGGAAAGCCCCGGCACAGAGCTCCGCCCGCCGCCCTGTCGCTGGCAAGCGCCGTGGGGCTTCATTCTTACGCTCCCCAGTCCTGCTTTCAAACCCCCTCCTTCTGCATCCTGCATTTCTTACACTCCCCGATCCTGTATATAATAAAGTAGAGACGGGGCCCTCTTTTGAAATCATTTTATATGTCAGTTAATATATTTCAAGAGATAAAAAGAGAGACGGTAATTTTTTAATTATTTTTACACTAACACCCCCAGTCATTTTCAGGCATTTTTGGGCTTAGCCTCCCTTTTTTGGGAGGACTCTACATGACCCCTCTCATCCCCACTGACCTGCTGCTCCACGGCACGCTCGCTCTCTCCCAGAGGCCTCGGGATGCCCCTGATGACCTCATCGACCCCGGACTCCCCCACCCCTTTTTACTCACCCCCAAAGGCAGGAATAAAGAGAGGGAGGGTGGGCAAAAGGCGGGGGCACAAGAGAAAAGGAGAACGGGGGGCAAGAAGAGGAGGGGAGGAAAGGGGTGGAGAAAAGAGGGGAGAAGGGATGGACATCTGGGGTTGCACAAAGGAAGGGGGGAGAAGGAGGGTTTTCTCACCTGCCCAAGCTCAACAGCTCCATCCCAAATCCTCTCCCTTCTGCAAAACAATGTTCCTACCAAACCAGGCATCCACCAGCACAGCACACACACAAACCCCTCTGAGGGTCTGGAACGTGACACACACCCGCAGGGGGTGGCTGTAGGGTTGCAAACAAGATAGGGAGGCTTTTTTTATTACACAAAGTCAACAAATGCCTCCAAAAGAAGGGTTTTGGGGGCAGTGGCAGCTTATTGCACTCTGCTGGACTCCTGTCATCCCCGTTCTCCGCTCCATGAGGATTTGGGCTTCCTCTGAAAGTGACAGTTGCCTGCAAAGCAATTCACGAAGTCCCTTCCGTTGGTTTTTTTTCCAGCTTTTTCTCCCCAGCACTGCAGTGGTCAAAAAGGAGAACAGAAAACCAGGAAAAAGCCCCAAAAAATCCCACTGTGCCTCCCAATCCCTCACAACATGCAGCTCCTCACCCTAAGCCACAGCTCCCCCTCAGCTGCTAAACTCAGTTTGGGGTTACTCCCAGGGGAGCACCCCAGCATTGCAGCCCGGGGAGCACAGGCTGAAGGCACCCAGCTGGGGTCCGACACCAGCTCCGCGGAGCAAACGGGGTGTCTGGGGCTCCCGGGAGACGCCGGGGTTATTCCAACACTGCTCCCATCACATTGTGAGCTGAGGTTCCAGTGGCCCCCTCGAGCTCTGCCTAAGCGACAGCCGAGATTGGAGATCTCAAAGCCTGCAGGAGAAGAGTCAGAAAGGGAATGGGAGAGAAAAAAAAAAGATGACTTTGGGCTATCAGTCTGCAGGCAGTAATTGTGCCATTTTTAGCCCTGGTGCCAAAGAGCTCAGGAGCACCACGCTGGCATCCTGGGGCAGAGAACTTCATAGACCTGTGTTATCCTCCTGCATCCTAGCTCTTGGGAGTCCACCCAGCACCCAGCTCATCCCAGTGCTGCTCTGCCTGCTCCAGGATTCTAACTGCCAGAGAGGCCACAGGTCCCACACACAGGCCCCCCCACCACTTGCTGCCAGCAGCCAGACCTCCCCACGTCCCCAAATGCAGAGCCCCTTCCCCAGCATGGCCCACTGCCCTCAGCTCCCCAAAAAGAGGGACAGGAGAGCCCCCGTCTCTGTTCGTTTTCCCAGCAGGTTTTCCCTCTGTGTACAGCAAGATTTAAAGACCATACGAAGAGCTTGTATGCAAATAAATAGAAAAGTCTGCTTAAGAGTCAGCAATTAGTGCCCTAGCGGTTGAAGCCAAGTGGATAAATCCACTGGGATGAAACAGGAGTGGCTGACACGATGGTTTATGGCACACTCAGAGCTGCAAAGCTGGAGCCTTCTTTCTTTTCCCGGGCCATCACAGAAGTTCTGCCTCCCTCATAGTCACAACACAGAGCAGACCCCCCCTCCCATTGCTTCTGTAGGAGCAATGCTCCCACCAGCCTGCCCAAGGGCAGGAGGGTCCCCTTGCCCAGGGAGCAGGGATCCGGAGGCTCGGGGCTCCCTGCCCTGCTCAGGGCAGGGGCTGGCCAGTGCCACAAAGCAAAAGCAGCCATCAGGAAGGCTTAAATGCAATCAACACTTGTAAACAAGATTAAGCCACCAGCAAAAACACTTTTGAAATGCAAGAAGCACCCTGAACAAGTTACCTTTATTCCTTACAAGCCCCTCAAGTTGTCCACTGGATGGTTTTAAATTTAGCAGAAACATTTACCATAATCTAAGGCCTTCAGTCCCCTCCTGATAAGCAAACCTAGTGAGTTCTCTTGCCCAAGGGTGCCCAAAAGGAACAGGGAGTGTCTGTTGGGTTACCTGACCCTGGTCTCTCTGCTGGGGCTGCTCTCTGCCTGGCACAGACCTCTTTGTTGCAGCATGACTGTTTTAGTTACTACTTCAACAGTAAAGCACCAGCTTTTTTTTTTTTTTGTCATAGTTATCCATAAGAGATTTCTATTAAAAAAAGATTAAAACAATACCTTTTGCCTCTGAGGGGAGGCAGCAGCAGCAGCAAGCGACCAGCATGTTCCCTCCTCTCTTACCGGCCCAGGGAGTTCCAGGCACCTGCCTGGGCAGGGCTGAGGATGGCATCTGCAAAAGTTTTCATCCCATTAGTTTAGTGAGGTGACCTGAGCACTAATTACACCTGATGGTGCCCAGCTGCTGAACGGCCCAGCAGCAGCAGCATTTGCGTTTCGTACACCCGCAGTCAGGCTGTCCGGCTGGAAGGGACCGGGGGTGCAAGGCCCGCGTTCGCCTGACCCTGCTGTGATCCACATCCTCACCTGTGCCTTGTTGTGATCCAAATGCAAACACCTGCCCCAGAGGAGCCACTAGGAAGGATGTCCCAGAGCACAGTTTGCAGAGCATGTCACAGGGAGTGTGGGCTGCGCTCCACCCCATCGCCGACACTGCGCTGGCCAGATCCCTGGCGAAAAGACATGTAGCAGCTCACCCAGCAGCACTCGTTTCTCTCCTTCAGGAGAGGAAAAGAAGGCACAGACAGACAAGAGATCACACAACCAGATTATAAAATCAAACACAACTCTTTTATTCCAGCGGGGCCATCCATCCCCGTACGTGGAGTGTGCGTGTCCAGGAGGGGCTGCCCAGAAGGATGGGAGGCAAAGAACTGGGATCCCAGTGCAAACAAACAGTCATTTGTACCACAATCACATTTGGAGAAGAGGCTCAGCCCTGCCGCTCGCCCTCGTTGTTGCTGCCTGACACTGGCGGGTCAGGTCCGGAGGGGCTCTGCCCACGTGAACCCACCTGGGCTCCTATTAAGGCTTCACCGGTGAGGTTCGATGCTACCGTCGTCTGCACGTACAGCAGCTCAGCTAAACACTGATTACAAACTCCATAGGCACAATGACTCCACAGAGTACATCACACAGAGAAACAACTCAACATCGAGGCCATTAGCAACCTGGAAAAACACTTCCGAAGGGACAAGCAGCTGTAACTGTATTTATTGCCACGTCGCCACGCTCACTGTAAAATAAAACCCTTGATCCCCACCTCTGCAAATGTATTGTGAATGGTAAAATAAATCAGCAGCAAGAACTGTTGGAAGAAACCAGTAGGCACCCAGGGGGCCACAGGTGTCCCTGTCCCCAGGGAGCAGGGGTGTGGAGGGGCTCTACCAGGCAACAGAAATGCCCCAGCACCGGGGCAGAGGTAATTTAAACACAGATATCAAATCCATACTTGGACGCACAGAAGTAGACTCGCTCCTCTGGCTGCCCAGGGAAGAACAGGAGAGACCCCGGGAGCGGGGCTGCAAACAGCCGCCCTCCCCAAGCCTGCAACCCTTAAAAAATACATACAGGTATCTATTATTGCCAACAGGGAGTTTTAATACCCACTCCCCTTGCACCATAAGATGAGTGAATTTGCAGAGCTTGGTCTTGCTCTTTTGTTGTGGAAGGGAGGAGCTGGTTTGTAGGAGAAGGGGAAGGGGCAGACCTGGATATCCGGTGTCTGAGGTAAGGTTGGAGGAAAAAGTGCAGCAAGAAGGAGATGCAAGAAAAACAAACAAAACTGCTTGGCTCTGAGCATCTCTCGTATGAAAATGATTGTCAAAGAAGTCACTAGTGAAAACAAGGTAAAAAAATACGTTCGCCGTAGAGGTACCTTTCTGCATCTTTCAGCATCAGAACACTAACCCGAGGTCCATGCAGTGCTTTCAGTTCACCACAGGAATACTCTTTGGAAAGCCCGAGTTGTGTCAGCCCAACACACACCCCCGGGCATGCCACCCGGCTCGGGTGGTGAAGAGAAGACCTGGAGATCTCCCGTGTCCATCTGGGGAGGGGGACGCAGGTCTCCCGTGGGGTCAGCCCCGAAGGGTGCTCGGTCTCTCCGGCGCCGGCATCCCCACTGTGGCACTACCCGAAGCGGAACTTCAGCCGGTACTTGACGGGGCCGGGGTTCTTCCGAGGCGGGGATGGGGGGAGCTTTGGCTTCGGCGGCTTCTTCTCAGGGAGGGCGACGGTGAAGGTGAGCTCAGGGGGCTGCGGCTGCCAGAAGCGGGGCAGGAAGTGCGTGGAGACGTGCTGGGGCCGGGCACGGGGGCTGCAGCCCCGCTTGGCTTTGCCCCGCTTGTTGAGGGCCACGTACCACTGGCGCCCCGAGCGCGGGCTGCGGTGCACGGCCGAGGCGTAGGTGTTGTAGCTGTTCTCCTGGAAGCGCTCCCGGAAATGGCAGTCTGCTGTGAACCGGGCCTGTGGGGACAGCGGGGACACCGTTAGCCAAGGGCTGCTGTTCCCTGTCCCTGTCCCTCACCCCCACCCCCTGACGCTTGCTGGGTTTGTCTGTCTCCCAAAAGCAGGTCCAAAGGGGTGGGTGGAAACACAGGACACCCGTTGCAAGGGCGCAAGGCACCCGGCCATTTGGAAAACCCCCAACACAGATAATTCAGTAGCTGCTTGCCACCCAGTTCGGGGCTTCCTTAGAAATAAAAGGCTTGGGCCGCCCCAGCAGTGCCCTTCCCTTCCGTCCTGTCCTGCCCCAGCAGCACCCTTCCCTTCCCTCCCAAAAAAGCATTCCAAAACGCAGGACCAGAGCCTAACACTCCAGCTGTGCACCCATTGCCCTGGGACCCCTGGCTGCAGCTTCCAGCAGACCCTCCAGAGCCCACTGCCACACTTTAACCTGATGGTGGGCATGGCACCCGGAGCCCCACGAGCGTCCCTAGCCCAGTTCCACAGCAACGCCTCCAAGCCACTGGGATGGCATTGCTGAGCTCCTTGGCTCTGAAACCAGCGACTGAGTACAAGACCAAACCCCTTGCAGCACTTTGTAACCACGCAGAAGGTGTTTTAAACTCCTAATTGAGCAGAGAAGTTGAGCCTTGGAGCACAGGTGACACAGCCGTCAGCCTGCCGTGAACATGTAGCCTCCTAGCACTTGGAATTAAGTCTTAAGCTCGTTGCTTCCGAGAGATGTCACCTCATGACTCATTTTCACTCTCCCTGTCTTTCATACACCCTTCACTCTGCATCCCCCATGCACAAACATTGACCTTCCCCAGCAAGGCTTTGCTGACCTCAGGTTCTCCCTGAAGCCCCAGTGCTCAGACGGGACACCCCATGTGCAGAAGGAAGCCCTCGCTCTGGACTGGGAAGTGCATCAGCTGCTGCTCCACCATGACCTTGTCAGGCTTCCCTACATATTGGCCTCTCAGCTCATCCCCTCACCGTTCCAGCCAGGAAAAGCCATTTTTCCCCCAGCACAAGGTGGGTGGTGCAGCCACGACACATGGCTGGCATCAGATTTGCTCTGCAGACCTCCAGAGACAATCACAAAGAGCCATCTTGAAGTCAATTAAATTTCAAAATCCCATTGAGCAGAGATTTGCCCCAGCGAGGATCGCAGCATTGTGACGATTCCTGGGAAGGGAGAATTACCTGGGCAAATCTGTCCCCTGGGGTCCGTGCTGGCCCCTGCCGAGACGGGCACAAAACCCCTCCCACCCCCTCCGTGCTAAAAATGGACAAATGAGAGCAAGGATTTATCAACGAGGAAAAAGCCATCTGTGCACAAAACTGATAATTGCCAGGATTACTGTCATTTTCTGAAGCTGATGCCTCTAAAAATGAACTGCTTGGTAATTTAATTAAGTTGCCATGAAAAAAAAAAAAAAAGAAAAAGGAGGAGGGCATCTGTAAAGCACCAGGCTGGGATGGAGCTGGGCCCAAGAGCGGGTTTCGAAGAAGCCCAAATTCCTGCAGGAATGACTTTTGTCTGTGGTTCAGTGTAAAGTCCCCGGCCTGACTCCCATATCAAAGCACTGCCCTGAGTGACGGGCGCAGGATGCGCTTTGTACTGCTCAGAACTCATTAGGCCATGAAATAACTTCATCCTGCCAGGACAGGAAAGAACAACAGATGCCGGGTTTGCATTATAGGCGTTGTTTAGTCCAGCCATCTTTAGACATTTGGGTCAAGTTTCTACAAATTCACAGCTTTCATCGAGCAGGGCATCGTGTGTCCTCACCCCCACCCTGACCCGCCTGACTGACGTCTCTCTCCGGTCCTGCCCTTTGTGTGTCCACAATTGACCACGCACCAACGAGGTTTGATTTAATTTCTGCCTGCGCCAGGGCATAAATCAAAGCTTCAGCTTGGATAAGGGGCCCATTGTAAGCCCAGAGGGAAGGCTCTGGAGGGTCCAGGGGTCCCACTCCACCTGCTTCTCTCTCCTTTCCATCCTTCACCTCTCCTCCTCCTCTATCCCCCTTTCCTGCCCCATTGCCTCACCTCAGGTTTTCCTCCACCCCTTTTCCCCTAGACACTGTTCTTGCTCCTGTTTTATTTCCTAAAATAAGCAACCATGTGCTCAACCCTTTAAGCATCATTAGGTTTCAGGAGCAACACTCCAATAATACTCAAGGGAGACAGAGGAGTTCATAAATCTCCCTGGGAGTGATCTGTGGGCTCAGGCAGCACAAGCACATTGGTGACATCCACTTCATGATCAGGAGGTTTGACTCAGAACCATGGGGTGGGCAACTGGCTTTTCCCTCTCCCCATCTGTCAGCCTTGACCAGACTCCCTGGGAACCGCCCTGGGGGTCAACATGCTGCCTTAAAAGCACCCTTCTTGGGGTGATGAATGTACATACACCTTTAAAAGGCAGTGACTTTCATGTAAGCAGAGGAATTAACTGCATTTGTTTAAGCCATCTCTGGAACTAACAACAAGAAACTGGGAAGCAACATCCTGAGGTTGCAACAAGCAGTAAGATCAGCTTATGGACTCATGCAATGCAAAAAGTTTGGGAAAAGGACAATGAGATCTGCAGGAAACCCCAGGAAACAGCCTGCAGAGACAAGTTACGGGATTTTCCCGCTCTAGCTGTAAGACACCTGCACAAGCTGGACCTCACCTGCCTGAGCTCTTGCTGGGGTTATCTGTCCCCAGGGGCAAAGCCAGCCCGAGCCGTGGGGCTGCCGGCGCCGCTCGTGCCGCTCTCCGGGAGACATTTGGCTAAAGCCGTCTGCGCGATCTGCTGCAGAAGTGGCTAAAAATAACCCAGCCGTGCTCAAAGAACAGGCACCGCTGATGCAAATACCCCACTGCACAAAAAAAAAAAAAAAAAAAAAAGAGCGCACTTTTCATGGTTAAATGCAGTAAGTAGGGAGGTGGGCTAGGGGGCCTCCGGCTCCACCTGTCCCCTATCTGTCCATGCGGCGCCGATGCCGCCCAGCGCGGAGCCATCCCGGCAGCCCCAGGGGGGCAGCGCGGTGGGGCCCTGCCCAGGAGCGTCGCTGCCGCGGGCACACAGAGGTGTCACAAGGTCTTTAATAAACAACACGTACTGATAAGTGAGGGGTTTACTTACACTTGCATGGAGTTTTCCTTTTTTTGACATCGCTAAAAATTTGTTGCTGAAAACTCCTCGTATTCCTACAATCCCCTGAGACACAGCAAATATTTCCAAAATACCTAGGATGACAGAAATCCCAAAATAAATCACAGTTCTTTTCACATCGGTGTGACAAAGAAAAAAATAAATACAACTCAGTCTGACAGGTTTGCATTTCCTCTCCCACATCCCTGCTTCTCAGCTCCCTGGCTCCACGCAGCTCCTGCTCCATCCCTCCACCCTGCAGAGCCACCTCCATTCGCTCCAGGATGGATGCAGGGTGGTGGCTGGGGTTTGGTTTTTTTTAAAAGCTGCGCTTTGGGGGACAATTCTTGGCAGGGCTATGACAGAACCCCTGGGGAAATGTCGCACAAGGGTGGGAGTGGGAAAAGCCCCCCTATGCCTATGCCAGCCTGCCAGGATCAGCCTTGGCTGTCCTCCTCCCGCACCTGCTGGACTCGGGAAGTCAAGGTGTCACACAGCCTACCTGGGCTAGAGGTACCGATGGTGCTCCCTCAGGCCCACCCCTCACAGCAGGACTTGGGGAACGGGCGCTGCGTGGCCCAGCCATGGAAGAAACGGGAATTTTCTGAGCGTGATGGGGCTCTGGCCCCCAACAGGGGGCGTGTGCCCTTCAACTCGTCTGACAGAAGGGCTGTAACCGCCGAGCATCCCTCAGTAACAGCACCGACACGTGTCACCTCCCCACGCCGTGTGCGGTTCCCGGGGCAGAGGGTCAGGCGTCCTCCCAAACCCTTCCAGCCGGGATCAGCACATCCCCAACACGCCCTTCCCACCCTGGGGAAGCAGCACTGCTGCCGGGCTGCAGCCCCAGGGGGTTGGTGGCCCCGGGCCTGCAAGAAGGACCGCACAGAACATCTTGCCTGGCCCCCGAAGGGCCATGGGATTAACATGCCAGGAGCAAACTTGAAGCCGCGTTAAATCCCCGAGGCCGGGTATCGGATCACCACTTCCCATGTTTATTTTAAGGAGGAAGCACAGCTCCCTGAGGCACCCAGGTCCCAGCACCGAGGGCCTAGGGGGCACTTTTCAGGGTTGGTGGGCCACCCCTCCTCGCCCCATGTGCCCTAGGCCAAAAGCCACAGGGCTGTGCAGCCCCACTGCAGCGAGGTAAATACCTTCTCCAGCACATGCCTGTCCTCAAGGGCACTCCAAAACCTGCCGCCCTTTGTGGGGTGGCCCTGCTGGCTGGCAGACATACTCTTGGTTATTGGGGTTGCCTGGGGTCAAGCCCCGTTTCCCAGGGGCCAAAGCTGGGGTTTGCTTGCCAAAAGCCGACTGCTTCCCCATGAGGGACAGCTCCTCAGCGTGAAACTCCAGCATAGCCCCTCTCAGCGGCATGTTTCCCCAGCCAGGGCTGGCTCCGCTCTGAAGAGCAGAGCTGGTGCCACTGTGGCCTTTCCAGGGAGAAAATCTGAGGTTAAGAAGAAAGGAACTTCACATAATCCAGGTCCCTGCAAGACAGCTGTGGCATCAAACCTCTTCCAGCCCTTCCGAACTCATGTCTCCCATAACAGCCCTGGCATGGATGCCCTGTTTTCCCATCCTTCCCCTAAACCCCTCCAGGCCACATGCCCGCAGTGCCCATGAAGCCCCGAGCAGAATTCCCAGGCTCCCAGCATCCCTGCCCAGGGGCTGCGCTCCCTCGTGGGGCCTCAGCACAGACCGGGGCCCAAATACTTCGGTGTGGGGCAGATGTGGTGGCTGCTCCGTGAGCGCTCCCAACAGCTGAGCCTCGCATGCTGCCAGGGTCACCTCGGGCCCAAGCCCTCGAGCTCTTTAAGTGACTTTTCATCCCCGCCTGCCGTTTCGTTCACTCTAACAGGATATCACGGCAACTCCGAGTGGAGGATAAGCCATGAGTTAGCACAGCTTTCTCTCAGGGGAACGTCAGCCTCAGTCCTATTTTTAAACTGAATATATCCTATTGCTGTGCTGGGAGAATGGGAATGCAGAGGGAAGGATGGAAAAGTTCCACAGGGAAAGGACAGAAAAGGGAGAGCATCCTCCCCCCAGGTGCCTGACAAGGGGCTACGGTGGGAGTGCAGACCTCTCGCCCTCACACCATCCCCACAGACTCACTTCCTCGAGGCAGGCGAACATGCAGGTAGCGCTTCCCAAAGGGAGCCAGGCAGCTCCCACCGAGCCCAAAGAGCACAGCCTCCCCAGCACCCCAGATTCCCCTTCCCGAGGCCTTCCCGAGCTCACCCCAGGCGAGGGTGGCGGGCACGAGGGGCTCTGTCACCTCCGCGGGGCTCGGGACACTGCAGGGATGGGGATGAGGACGGGTATGCTCAGCCCCGCTGCCCCCGCCCCGGCAGCCCCCCGGCCCCCCGGTTCCCCACTCACTTAGCGGACTCGCGTCGTGGGCGCCGTCCACGCGGCCGTCGGGGTGCAGCTGGAGGTGGAAGCCGATGCCCACCCGGCAGTACAGGCGGCCCCGCCGCCGCTCCGGGCGGCTCCGCGGGAAGCGGCTCGGCCCCGCCGCCGCCGCCGGGGAGGAGGAGGAAGAGGAAGGCGTGGGGGCGTTGCGGCCCCGCTGCGCCCCGCCGGGCACCTGCTCCCGCCGGGAGCGGGCGGGCAGGGCGAGGAGGAGGAGGAGAAGGAGGAAGGACGGGCTCATGGTGCCGGCGGGCGGGAGGAGGGAGGGCGGGCGCCGCATCCCGCTCCGCTCTGAGCCCCGGCGGGGGGAACCGGGCACGGGGGGGAGCCGGGCCGCCCCTCCCCGCTATTTATAACCGGGCGGCGGCCCCGCACCTGTGCCCGGCCCCGCCAGCCCCCCCCTGCCCCGTACCCGCGGCAGATGCGGGGCTCGGGGGCGCATCCATCTGGGAATTAACTTGTCCGCCTCGCCGGGACGGGGCCGCGGGACCCTGGGGACAGGGTCGAGTTGCAGCCCCCCGCCCGGGATTCGGGGGGTGACACGGCAGCTGCACGCCCAGCCCAGCCCAGACTCGGGCGGGGGGCTCGGGAGTGGGGCTGAGGGCAGCCCCCCGAGCCGCCAAAGCTGCTCTCCATCCCACCCGGGGCAGGACAGCCGTGCTCCGCCCTTGAGAGCAGCTCTTGGGGGTGGGGGTCCCCACCACGACCCCCCTGACAGCATCTCACAGCCTGCAGGGAAGCTCTGCCCCTTGTCCGTGCCCAACATTCCCCGCGGTTCCCAGGCGGGGGTACGCAGCCCGGCCTCCTGCTGCGGGCGCAGTGACCCACACACGTGCCAGGTGCCCCCCAGCTCTGGCAGCCGTATTTCTTCCCAATTACAAAGGCAACTCTGCCACACAGCACCTCGGTGCAGGAGGGGACCCCGCGGCGACAGCCCATCCATCACACCGCACAGCTCTGAGCGGATTCCGCTTTCCTCAGCTCCTGGGGCTGCTCGAGGCCCCTGAAGCCACCGGGAAAACCTCACGACTACAAAAGTCAACACTGGCCAAACCCACCCTGCCCAGCCTGCACCTCTGTGCCCTCAGTGCTCCTGCCAACCTGTGTACTCCCCTAAATCCCACCTGGTAACCACTCCCCAGCCATCCCCAGGGGTGGCTCTGGCCAGCGGACTTGGCCAGGCCACACACCCAGGGATCGGGTTCAGCAGGAAGGAGGCAGAGCAGGTGGCACGCTGGAGAGTGACCTTCGCATTCCGAGGAAGCTGAAGGTTGGGGGAACAGGGAGAGACGCGCACTTAAGGGGCCGTATCCTGCCTGGCTGACACCTGGCACAGCCTGGTGCAAGCAGAGATGATCTCACAGCATTGCTGCAATTTCAAACCATTTCTCAGCACATATATATATCCACACAGCTATATGCACACACATTATATATAGACATGTATATTTAGACAGCCCTATATATAGATGCACATACCTGAAGGAGGGTCAGGGCACTCAAATCTTGTTTACTTCTCCCAGCTGTAGCAGTTGGCCTGGCAAAATCCATGACTTCCACTTACCCACCTCATCTCGAATTACACGAACGCACCGAGTCCGAATTCAGATCCATGAGCAGGACGAGGACCCGCAGGGTTCTGAACCTCCCGTGTGGAGTTTGTGCTGGACCTCCTGTATCAGCTCAGCTGAGGCACACAGGGAGGAACAGCCACCTCGTTCCAGGAGGATTTCCTCTTGGGCATCTTGGTGTAAAGGCTACAGCTGCCACAGGATGATCCCAGGGTCATCTCTGTTCTCCATCTAGGTAAGCAGACCACAAACAATTTCTGCCACTCTAAGTTAAGGTGAATGCAAAAATGTTTAAAGTTGCCACCCTGGAAGTGACAGGGCACAGCAGCAGCCCAGGAGCAGAAAGGAGGCACCTGCACATCCTGGTCAGAGATGCCCACCCAAAGCTGCTGTAACCCAGAGGTTCACTAGCAAGCACAGCCTCCCTAATTTTTACCCTTGGGTCCACACCAACAGTTTCCAGCAGCCTTTCTGGTGCTGCCCTTGCTGCCAGGCATCCTCTGCTCACTCATACTTCTGGACCAATTTTTCTCTTCCAGTGAAGAATTCCTAGAAAACCCAAACTCCTGAGAGGCATGACCATTGGTGAGGCCACCAAGAAGGTGACACCAGCTGGGCGGGCTTGCCCAGGCTGGTCCCCAAGGACCAGCTGCTGGAGAGAACCCCAGTGCACTGTGCGTGCCCGATCCTTTTTGGGGTGCAGTGAGGCAGCAGAGCCCTTGGGGGTCTCTCATGCACTACACTCTGCTGTTCCCTGCTGTGGGATGGACACACTACCTGAGATGGGGGTCCTGCCCGTCTGCAGGATGCCATCCCCCTCCTCTGGGGACTCCTGTGTACCTATGGAAGTGATGCTCAGCCGGCTGCGCTGTAGAGAAATGACTCAGACAAGTCCCTGTGGCACATGGCATGTTTTCATCTTCACCATGAAACCCTTAGAATTCCCAAGCAGTGCTTTGGGCCTGAACTGAGTAGTTTTGGATGTTTTCATTTGGACCTATTCATTAGCACAACACATCAATTTCAAATAGTGCAGGTGCTTCTGCAGCAAAACTCAGGGAAAAAACCCAGTCCAGACCAAACATGAAACCTTAATCTAAATAAATAAGCAGATGTAATATTCAACTTCCCGGAGTAATTGTGTGTAACTGCTTTGGGCAGTAGCAACCCTCACACACACTCCAGCAGCTTTGGAAGCCTAATGCCGATGTTATGTTACTTAAATTATTCAGGGCTCCGTTACAGAGAAAACTCAGCAAATGGAGAGGATAAGCTGGGTTTCAAGTGCAAAATTCCCCTTTTGAAGATGACAAGGGCTCTTCTGAGCCTGTTTGATCTGCTGCAGAGCACGGGGCTGTGCATCGCACGGCAGGAGTGCTCCCCCCTCCCAACGTCAGCCTGGGGGTTATTCAATTGCCACTTGAAAATGTGCAAGGTGAAGCACGAGCAGATATGAAACCAGCCGGCGGAGCCCTAGCCCTGGGGTGCCCGAGGGGCCAGCTCTGTCTGCCCCCAGCAGCCCCAGCCCCAGCCAGCAGCTGCATGGAGAGGCACACCAGCCTTTTGGCATCGCTGGGGTTTTTTCCCCTCCCAGAAGGGTTTATTCCACTGCATTACCAGAGCTATATCATGCTGGATTCAACTTCCCGGCGTGCTGCAGGCTCAGGCTGCCTCGGAGTTGGCTGTTCCCCGAGGAAACACCCTTGACACCACCCCTGGGAGCTTGGAAAATGGCCTTTGCAATGAGGATATGTGGCCTGAAGGATACTCACCTCAGTAGGACGGGGGTGGCTGGAGCCCAGGTCACCCTGCAAGTCCCTCCGGAGGCGTCCCTACTCTGGGGGAGCAGCGAGGCCTGGGGCTGCTCGAGCAGCTCCACACAAAGCCAAAAGACGAATGTATTACCAGGAGGCCATGCGTTAAACCAGGTTAATTTAATTAAGATGATTACCCAGGTGCCGTCGGGAGCCCGGGGCAACCCCGGTAACAGGCTCCGCGGGAATGAATGCCAGAGAGATCACTTGGAAGCCACCTCTTGAGCCTGGATAAGGAAATAAAAGAAATTTAAACAAGTGAAAACCAATGTCTCTCTTAAAAAAAGCCCAGTGCAAGCTGGGCATTACCCTGCATTCTGCAGGACAACACTGTATCTCACAGAAACTTCCCCTATGCATTTTGCTTTTTGTGTGTATTTGTTTAAAACCCACCACCACCACCTTCTGTACTGGATAAGGTCTTTCCACTCCCTTCTCCCCCCCTCCAAATGAGACCTTAGCAGCAGGGAAAGTAGAGAAGAAATATTATACCGCTCATATTATTTTCAAAACAGGGGAACTATTTTAGCCTTGCCTTAGACATCCACAGCTGAATAACACATTTTCAAATGCTGGGTATTGAAATTAAATCTTGATAGCAGATTTTCCAGTTTTAACAGATTAGGGATTAACTAGAGATACATACCTTGCAAAGAGGAGCTCAGCCTTCTTGGAACAACAGCAACATTTATTGGAGGAATAACAATAATAATAACATTATATACACATTTATAGGTATATTATTATATAATAATAACATATACATAATGTATACATTAGACATTATATATATTATATACACATTTATATAGATATTGTTATTGTTATCTGTTATTATTATTTGTTATTTATTATTATGGCCTGGCTACAGACAGAGCAGTCTTACCTTGAGCACTGCAGGACGCAGGGAAGAGGCTCCTCAAAGCTGAAGGCTGTCCTTCCTCACTACCAAGGCTCCTCCACAGCACACTGAGGATGCCCCTTGTGGGTGGGTTTTGGAGGCAGACGCAGCCGTGGGCTCTGGCACAGGCTCGCAGGGGCAGGTCTATCCCAGAGAAATGCCCGAGCCATGCCCTAGCACTGCATTTTCTGGGCTGTGATGCTGAGAGAGGATCCTGCACAAGGGGCTGATGCCACAGCCCAGCCAGCCTCTGCCCTGAGCAGTGACACGACACAGCATCGACCACCGACAGAGAAAGTCAGTTAAAAAAAAAGGGAGATTCCCTTCCCTGTTTCCCATGCAGCAGCATTGTCGATGCACAAAGGAGCAGTGTCTGGCAATGGCACTCACGCCGACCTAAGGAGAGCCAGCATAGCTCTGGGGAGTGACGGTCTTGCTGTGACCAAGCCCTGAGCCTGAATGGCCCAAGGGGAACTCTTGTAACCCCCCCTTCATGCAACACCCAACTGCACAGGACCACAGGTGCTGCCCGCCCTTATGCCACATCCTGCTTGTGCATCGCTTCGGAGTCTGATATCAGATTTCACCAAAACAAAGTCTAACGTTTTGATCAAATTTCTTGCCCATTAGTCCTGTAGATTTTTTGTACTTAAGGAGAGGAACAGTGTGAGCTTTGTGTGTCCGTAACAGTGCAGACACCTGCTGCACCACACGTGTCCTGTCTAACAGCGTTTTTTAGGGAGCTGACAGGCAGGCACCCCTTAGCATAGACAGACCCCATGGGGAAAGTCCTGGGGCTTAGCACCGTGCCTGCAGAGAGAGTCACAAGGAACAGGGATAAAGCAGGGTGCTGCAGGATACTGCAGGACAGGTCCCCAGATCACTGGGCCGTAAAGTCTTTGGATTAGATGGAAGAGATGCTGTATGTGCTGCGGTGCTGAGACCTGCAGGTGCGCGCCAGGCTCCCGAATACTCCCTCACGGAGGGGAAGCACCAGCTCTCCAGCAGTGCCGGGACCCAGGACGAGCGCAGGGAGCCGGGGAGAGCATAATTTACACCGCCCCTATGAACCTACTCGGGCGCAGGAAGGATCCAGCCGCAAAGCCGTCCCGGGGCTAATGGAGAGGCGGAGCTGCCGCGGGAGAGGAGCCCGGAGCATCATCCTCGGGAAGGAGCCCGTCGGGGCCCCGCACATCCCGAGCGTCCCCGCTGGCCCCGCGGCGGCCCCACTAGATGGCGGTGCCTGCCCGCCTCTGCCGCCCCCGGCATCCCCGCGGCATCCCCGCAGCGTCCCCGCATCCCCCGGGACCACGGCTCAGCATCCCGGGAAATCCCCAAAAGCTTTCCCTAGAAAGAGGAGCCGTAGCGGCGGCACCGCTTTTAAGGAAAGCTCCCGGGAGTAATTAGCGTGTCGCCCCCGCAATTAGCGGCAGCAGGTGGAGCCACGCGTATTCCTGACGCAGGGAATGACAGCCGGGGGGTCGCTTCGGCACCTGGCGTGGTTTGGGGGTTATTGGGACGGTGCCGGGGTCAGTGCGCTGAAGGAGTGAATGGCATCAGCGGGAAGGTGGACTGTCCGTGGCAGGGACCCCGCTAAAGCTCCTCAGACGTGCCACGTCCCACATCCGTGAGGATAGCCAGTGCTGGCTGTCAGTGCTCCTCACGAAAGACACTCTCCAAGCGTGCGGAGTTGTAAGCACGTCCTACCTGAGGCTCCAGGCACTTTCCTGGGAGCTGTAAAGGCTTTGCAGCAGGTCCAGGCACTCCACGCAAACCCCAAACTCCACAGCAGCAGGTGCTGGTGGTACTCTCGACCCACTTGCAAGACAGTGGGCACCTCCCATGTTCTGCCGGGGGCTCCAGCCTTGCACAGCTCTGGATTTGGGATATTTTCCCTGCCAGTGACCCACGGAGCCATGTGCAGCCTCATCACAGTGAGCCCCGGCTCTCTCCAGGGTGATGCCAGCTTGTGTGGGTTTCTCCGGGCTGCTGTGTCCCTCAGGGCCCTCCTGTGCACCCCAAAACGTTCAGGGCTGACACCAGATGCACCCGCTGCAGGTGGTGCCCACAGGACCAGACTGTCCTGCTGTGCCCGGAGGGGTTCCCCTTTCCTGAGCCCTCCCGTGTGTCCCTGGCTGTGGTGCCGTCACCCCAATAACGCACCACGGCAGAGGGCACCCACCCTTGGCCCCTTGAAGCACTCCCTGCCCCAGGACACCCCAGGCTGGGGGCTCCTCTGGGCCCTGTCACCCCAACCGCCGGGGCTCTGCTCACCCTGCAAGCCGGGGACCACCTATAGCCCTGGCAAGGTTGGGGAGCAATAAAGGCTCCTGGCAGGGGTGAAGTGGGTGGTGTGGAGCAAAGTGGGGGGCTGAAAGGGGCTGGGAAGGAAAAGGAAAAGGAAAAAAAGGAAAACGGGAAAGAGAGGAAGAGAGAATGGGACAGAAAACACAGAAAGTCTGAAAGAAAAAGGAAGAGAGAAAATCAGAAAGAAAAAGAAAGACAGGCAAAAAGAAAGACATTATAGAAAACCAAAACCACGAAGGGAAGAGGAAAGGAAGGGAAGGACAGGGTGAAAGAGAGAAATAAAGGGTGGATACAATGCCAGGCAAAACCAAAGATGCACAGGGGAAGGATGGATGGATGTCAGAGGGGCTGAAGCAAGGCAGGCGAGTGGGGAAGAAGAGCAGAGAGGAGAGGCAGCGCGGTCTGGGGACTCTGCCCTTCCCCACAGCGCACCCCGGTCGGGGGCCAAGTTCCCACCCCGCAGCCGCAGGGCTGTACCCCTCCCCACTGCCCCTTCCCTCCCCCCGGAACCAATTAACGTCCAGGGGCTTTGAAGAAAATAAAGTCATTTATTGTCAAAGCATCCAACATACCCGGATAAACTATAAAGTTTAATAAATCTTTTCCAGAAGGTCGAGGGAAAAAAAAAACAAACCCAAACGGGAAAGGGAAGATAACACGGAACTACCGAGACTCCATTCCACGGGCACCAGTGACACTCGGGGGGAAGGGGCGCGGGCGGCGGGGCCGGGCAGGGGGAGCGCCCGGTGCATGCAGGACCCCGGCCCGCCACCCGCCGGCCCCGCCGCGCCCCCCCCGCCCTTAGCTTCATATCCAAAATAAAAATTTACCCTGACATAGAATTATTATTACATCTAAACCATAAGTGCTTAATAATTTAAGTAGAAACGTATGACAAATGCATCAATATGTTGCAATATATGACATTTTAAAAAATGTATTTTTTAAGTCATTTGATTTTTTTTCTCTTTTTCACGGTGCTTCTCTTTTTTCTTTTTCTTTTTTTTTTTTTTACCTTCTTTTTTCTTCTTCTTCTGTTTCTTCTTTTTTTCCTCCTCCTCTACCTCTGCCCTCCCCGCCCCTCCCCAGACAGTGGAAACGCGTGCATCGAAGGGGAAGGGCGGGAGCTGCGGGCAGCGCGGGGGTCCCCGGGCGGGGGTCCCGGGCGAGTCCCCAGAACCGGGGGGGTCCCCGCTAGTTGTGGGAGGTCATGTGGCGGGAGAGGTGGTGGCGCTCGCGGAAGGACTCATTGCAGATGGGGCACTTGAGCTTTTCCTCGCGGCGGCGCTTGACGAGGGGCTCCAGCGCGTATTCCTTCTTGTGGTGTGAGCGCATGTGGTAGACCAGGTCCGAGGTCATGCGGAAGGACGCGTTACACTTGGCGCACCAGTTCTGGGCCGGCAGGCACAGCGAGGTGAACGACGGCGGCAGCAGCGTCAGCGCCGACGGCAGCTGCAGCTGCAGCGGCCCCGCCGCCGCCGCCGCCACCGCCGCCGCCGCCGAGCTCTTGGGCCAGAAGGCCGTGGTGTAGAGGAAGGGGCTCTGCTTGGGCAGCCCCCCGCCGCCGCCCCCGCCGCCGCCCGCCGCCTCCCCGCCGCCCGGCAGCTTGGCGGCCAGCGCCTCGGCGGTGTACAGGCGGGCGGGGGCGGCGGCGCCGTCGGGGCAGGGCTCGCCCAGCCCGCCCAGCTTCGGGCCCAGCACCAGCGGCGGGACGTGCGGGAAGGAGCGGGCGGGCTGCGAGAAGGCGCTTTTCCGCTCCTCGGCCGCGCCGCCGCCGGGCCCGCCGGGGCCGGCCCCGAGCTGCGGCACCGTGCTGAAGGCGCTGCCCCGCGCCGGGCTGCCGCCGTCCAGGCGGGCGGCCAGCGGGCCCCCAGCGCCGCCGCGGGGGCACAGCCCCGGCTCCGCGCCACCCGCCCCCGGGGAGCCGCGCTCCGGGCCTTCCTCGGGGCCGCCGTCGGGCTCGGGGCCGCGGGCCGCCTTCTTCACCTCCACGAAGGCGCTGCGCTTGGCCTCCCCTGTCTCCGGGCTGGGCGGCGCGAAGAGGCGGCCGCCCTCCTCCAGCCCGCAGTATGAGCCGGCGGCGCGGTACTGCTGCTGCGGGGCGCAGCCCGGCTCCTCCTTGGGCGCCGCCGGCAGCCCCGGCCGCTCCGCCGGGAAGCGGCCCCGCGCCGCGCCGGGCCCGCGATCCTCCTCATCGGGGAACCGCCTCTTCGCCTTCCCGGCCGCCGCCTCGGGGCCGCCCTCGCCAGGCGTCGGCCGCCCCGGGGACCCGCCGCGCCCGCCGCGGGAATTCTCCAGCTCCCGCGCCAGGTTGTGGAAGTCCGTGGAGGGCTTGGTGCTGGCGGTGGGGCCGCCGTCGGGACCGGGAAAGGGGTGGTGCGGCGGCCCGCCGGGCTTCCCGAATTTGCCGGGCTCCTGCTCCTTGCCGGCGACGTCCTTGCCGCCGGCAGCCTCGGCGGCGGGGCCGGTGTCGGGACCGTGCAGCCTCTTGGGGCAGCGGAACCGGAGGTGTGCGGCGAAGGGCAGCTCGAACTGGAAGCGCTGGCTGCATTCGGGGCAGGCGAAGGGCGGCGAGCCTGCGGCGGGAGGGAGCACCGTCAGCCGGGGCCGCTGACATGGTATCCCCGGAGAGCTCGGGGAACAGGGGCGCGGGGTCCCCAAAGCCGACAACCGACCCCGAACCCCCCGGCGGCCGCGCGGGGCACTCACCGTTAGTGCGGGCAGGGGCCCGGGCCGGTCCGAGCAGCAGCAGCTCGGTGAGCTCCTTCCCGTACCACACCAGCAGCTCCTCGTCCTTAGCGATGCGGCGCAGAGAGCGGTAGAAGAGCTGCCCGCTCTTGATGTAGGCCTCCAGGTTCTGCTCCTCCCGTTCCCGGGCCGACTGCACCAGCCGCAGCCACATCAGCCCCTCGGACGAGCCGTTCGCCGCCGACGTGTCCACCTGAAACCCCACGTTAATCCACCAGACCGACAGACCGACCGACCGACCGACGGGACGGGGACGGGCAGCAGCAGGAGGAGCGGTGGCGCGGCTCTGCCCTCGGGGACAGCCTCCCGGCGGCGGGGGGTCCCCCGGCCGAGCTGCGCTCCGCGGCGGGGACGCTCTCGGGCACCGGCCGACGTGGCGAGCGGCTGAGCCCGGAGACGAGCGGCTCTTACCCGGAATATGTAGGGGACGGTGCGCTTATCGGTGGACTTGAGGGCGATAAAGGCGATGCTGTCGTAGAGGGACGTGTGGCTCAGGACGCAGGGGCCGAAAATGGCATTTTCCGGGATGTCGCAGGTGGTGTAAACGCTGGTGAAAATGTCAGTCAAGCACTGCTGGACCGTCTTGGCGTCCCCGTCCCATATTCCCCGCTGGACGCCGGCGTCCTCCATCCCTGCGGACAGAGAGAGGGACAGAGCAGGGCCGTTACCGCAGCAGGTCCCGCTCAGCGGTGCACCGAGATGCGCCGGAAAACAAATTAAAATTAACTTGAATTGTTAAATAAAAAAATCAAGAAAAAATCCCAAAAAATTAAAAAAAAAATAGGTAGGCGAGCAGTTTCTCCGGTCTGAAATAAAAAAAAAAGAAAGCAGGCGAGGAGCTGCGAGCGGAGGTAAAGTGCAGGGACGCTGCCGCGATGATATACTGTTTCAGCGGTCGCGGCGGAGCCGACTCCGGGCAGCGACCCGGGAGTCCCGCCGGCCGGGTCCTGTCCCGAGCGGGCGCCGGGCACCGAGCGGCGGCGGATCTCCGGTAACCCCCGGAGCCGGGCCGGCCTGCGTGCTGCGCCGGGGGAGCGGGTGGGTTCCAGTGGCTTGTCATTGTCGCCGATTGCGTGTCAGCTCACCTCCCGCTCCGCGCGACAAGGGGAACGTATGGCTGCTCATTACCATAATCCAGCACTTTCCCTCCGAGACTTTAATTAAAAGCAGCAAGCAGAGGTAATTATTTTTACCTCGACACGCTTATTTATGGTGCAGGGAGAGCCCCGGCTGCCGTGCGGTACGGAGGGAGGGATCCGGGCGGCGGGCAGCTGGTGGGGCGCGGACAGCGGGCAGGGAGCGGGGCCGGGGAGGGAGCATCGCGCCCGGCTGCGGTGCCCTCGCCCTTCCCGACCCGATTAGCGCACGGCTGCCTCTCCCCGCCCCATCTGGCATCGAAATCCGTCATTTGGGGCTGGCTCGGGAAAAGACCGGTGCTGCTCCCGGTGCGCCTGCTGACGGCCGCCGCCGCTCGCACCGGACACAGCCCCGCCGAGCCGCCGGTCCCTCGATTTCGGGGTAAAACCGGATCCCCGCCACCCCGGGAACTTCGCCCCCTGGAGCGGCGGCGGGGGCGGCGGGGGGTCTCGGGCCCTCCCCGAGAACGAGGGCCGCGGACAGGGGGCTCTGGCCGCCTCCCCGCCGCCCTCCCCGTTCCGCCGCTGCCCGGCGCATCCCTTCCCCGAAGGGATGATTTCGCCAAACGAAACCGCCGGCACCGAGCGGCCCCCGCCGAACTTTCCCCCCGGCGCCGGTGGGCCCCGTACGGATCCCCGCGGCGCCGCATCCCCCCGGTCGCCCGGACCGCCCCCGGCCCCGCGGCGCTATCTCCCCTGGCCGCCCTTTGTCCGGCCGGGCGGCGCCGGGGCCGCTCCCGGAGGCTCGGCCGCCGGGCTCCACAGCTCGGGCAGGGCCCCGCACCCCGGGCAGGGCCGCCGGCAGCACGGCCATCCCCGGCATTGTTCCCGCTCCGGGGCGGCGAGGCGCGGGGGGCGGCGGGGCCCCTCCGCCGGTACTCACCAGGGACGGTGGGGATAATCCTCGCCCCGACAGTGGCACAAAGGCGGCTCCGGGCTGGCTGCCCCGGGCTCTCAGCGCCGCTCCATGCCGGGCCGGGCCGGGCGGGCGGCGGAGCGGGAGGCGCGCGGTGCAGACGGACCCGGTGCAGTGAGGGGCTGGCACGCAGACACACACTTTTTGTTTGCTGCACATAATCTGCCCAATGACGCGTGACAGCCCACGTCCCTCCCGTTAACCCCTTCGGGGCTGCCCGCTCGCCGCCCGCCCGCCCGCCCCTCACCTGGCCCCGCTGCCACCGGGCACCTGCGGCGAAGGGGATGGGGAACAGGGGCGCGCCCCCGCCAACGGCTCTCTCCCGGGGCAGCGGGCGGGTTTGGGGCCGCCGCTCCGCTCCGGCCCGGCAGGGGTGTGGGGCGGGGAACGGGGGGGGCCCGACGGCCGCTCCGCCCGGCGCCGGGATCCCGGCGGCGCCCGCCCGCTTTGCCCCTGCACCTGCCTTATAGGAGCATCTCGGACACGCAGTAAAAGCCCTCCTCGGCAGGACGGAGGCGGGCGGGGATGCCCGTGCCGTGCCCGTGCCCCGGTCCGCGGAGCGGCCCTCCCGCGCTGTCGGCGCCCGGCGGAGGCCCGGCGTGCGGGGAACCGGCAGCGGGCAGCCCCGCGCTCCCCGCCGGAGCCCGGTCCCCACTGGAGCGGGGGACACCTGGCTGGAGCCCCCCGCCCATTCCTCGCCTTTCCAGAGCGTGGGGCGGCCGCGGGCTCGCACCCCCCCACACGCGGGGCTTCCACATTCACCGACACGCGCACAGATTCGGGGAGCAGAAGCATCTGCAGATGCTCTATGCCGAAATAAGAGGGTCACCGCACGGAAAACTGTTTACCGGTCCCTCCCTTTTCGCCGTCATTTCAGGCACAAAACAGATTTAAAAAAATAGAATTTAAAGCCTTTCTTTAAACTAAACAAAAGGAGAGACAAAGCGTTTTCCAGGGCGAACGGAGCGAGGTTTGCAATCAGAGAGTGGGCTGATGTTTGGCTCTCAAATTCACTTATCCTCCCCATAATTACGATTTTCCTTGCATTAGGATTAAAGGCTGCATATAATATGCTTTCAACATTTATCTTATTAATTCGACAAAACGCAGCGTCTCCTAAAACGGAGATTGTCATAACATTAAAAATATGGGAGTCTAAAAATTTGAATCTCAATTCCTGCTTCAAATGTGGGGATTTTTTTTCCTATTCATCTTTCTTTTTTTTTGTTTGTCTTTTTTTTTTTTTTTTTTTTTTTTTTTTTTTTTTTTTTTTTTTTTTTTTTTTTTTTTTTTTTTGAGGCTGCAGCTCTCGCTGTGAGATATAAATTGTCCGAATGACTGTCGTTAGTAGGGGGAAAGAAAACCTACGCGTTATTTTTATTCGCGAGAATTTTAAGAGACACCACGGCACATAAACGATCTCGAAATCGCTTCGGCATGATCTCAGCTACCGAAATTTCCCGTGACTGGAAAGGACCGCGTCGGCATTTCTGAGCATTTATCCAGCCTCGGATGCCACCCTAAAAGTGGATCCCAGGGAACGGCGTCCCTCACCCTGCAGAACAGCAACGGGATGGACGCGAGCTCTTTCCTTTGGAGTTTCTGCTGCGAGGTGCTCCGGCCGGGAGCGCCCACCGCAAATCCGCAAAGCCCGACGCCCCGCAGAGCCCGGTGCCGGCGGCGCTCCCCCGGCCTCACTAAAAAGCCGCGCCGGGATTTTTGGGGGACACGGCCCAGGTGCGCCGGGCCCGATCCAGCCCCAGCCGCGCGGCCAGCGGGTGCGGTGTCACCCTGCGGGGCCGTGCGACTGCTGCCCGCCGCCTCCCGGCTGCCACACGCTCCGATCTCGGTACATCCATGCATTTTCTATCCGCTTCTTCTTCCAGAAAAACTCTCGCGGAGAGCTAAGGGCGACCCGGGCTGAGGAGCTTCGGCCGCCTTCCCACAGACCCCGGCAGCCGGCAACCCCTCACTGCTCCCCGCTGCTCTCAGCCCCCCAAAAGCGCAGCCCCAGCCCCGACGAGCCCCTGGTAATGGCACCGACACTGTACAACCGGCTCCCGGGCAAGGGGAGGCCCCGGGAGCAGCCGGGCAGGACGGGGACCTGGAAGGGGTCGGGCTGGCGAACCTGATTCCCACGGACACGCGGCACCCAGCCCCAGGGGGGCGGCCCAGGGTCCTCTGCTCCCCGGCTGGGGGGATGGCTGCAAGGGACAAGGGCACCTGCTCCTCAGCAGCGTCAGCCTTCTCCTTCCTCCCTGGGCTTCTCCCAGAAAGACGAGAGGAAAGGGGCCAAGGAGGCTGCTCAACCTGTGCTCAGAAACACTACTGCATCCCTTGGGAAATGCTTCCCGAGTTGTGACATGCATCAGGCCTACGGATGCGTGCTTACTCCTCTGAGGAGACACATACACAGCTGAGAGTCAGCTCCCAGGTGACTGATATAAAGTCACCTGTAAAATAAAATCACTGAGAGAATACACAAGTTCCCAGAAGTGCATGAGCCCAGCCACACTCGCTCCCACCATGCCAGGGGACCATGGGGAGGAGGCATGAAGGGATGCCCAAAGTTGCCTTGCTGCCCTCTCGGCCCACTGCGGCCAGAAAAAGGGCCAGCTGTGGTCCCAAGGGGAGCCACACCAGGTGGAATGGAAAAGCCACTCGAAACCAAATGCAGAGCCACAAGCTTTCCTAGTGCCTGGAGAAATGCAGACAGAACGGTTCCCTTCCCCGGAGATAGACAGGTCTCTGTAGTGGAAATAAATCGGGGGCCTCAGCTAAACAACAAACCATCCTTTCTGCATGCCACTAGGCTCACAAACGGTGCCTTTTCTGGGGAAGCCCTATGCCAGGGTGCCAGCGGTGTCACCACCACGCTGCAGACCAGCATACGGCGTACAGAGCATTGTGCTTCTCTCACCAGTAATCCTGCCAAGCAGCGCATGGATCCCACCGGGAATCCTCAGCCCCACAACCGGATGGATATGTCCCTACCACCAGGCCCTCACCAGGGCTGAGGCACATCAGCAATGTCCTGTCCTGTTTCCAGCTCAGCTCCCAAACACACCTATGGTCCCTGTCCCTTCCTATTCCCTTCGACCCTTCAGCTGCACCTCACTGATGTGGTGCCTGGGACTCCCAGGTCAAGTCACTGCCACGCCACAAAACACAAATCCTTAAAAAGGGCCAGACATCAGCTTCACCTATGGCTCACTCCAAGGAGCAAGTGCTCCTGCTCCCCAGGAACCCCAGTGAGACCCCATATACCTTCCCCACCTGCTTTCTTGCGATTCAGACACCACGGGCACCTTGGCTGTTTCTTCAGCCCTGATGATGCTCGAACTTCCCCTGTACTTCCTTCCGAGCAAGCGCAGAGTCTAGTGAGAAATATTAATGTGTGTATTCACCAAAGGGTCACAGAAATTTTTTTATAGCTGATCAAAACCCAGACCACTGAATATAATACAGGTGGCTGGTTAAATGGCTCATACATAGCCCCATATCATTGCTGACTTTCTGTCCCAAAATTATTTTCTCAGCTTTCTGCTTCTCCTCCTTACTTGGCCTGACAGCAGCAGCACCAAGGTTTAAAACCTGAAAAGCTTTCACCTAGCTTCACCTTCCTTCAAATGTTTAACAGCCTGATAGAGGACACGATAGGCTACGAGGGACAAAAAAGGGAGAGAAATGAAAGGGGGGAACCCCTGCATGACTGAAATCTGCTTCTGCCTCCTGTACACCCTCGGGCCTTCCTGTCCCCGTATGCCACCACTAGCATCCCACACTGGGGCAGAGCCCACCCCACCGCGTGGCCCCTGGTCATGCTTTGGCATGAGGCCAGGCAGAAGCCACAAGCTGATGGGGGACACACTGCAGTTGGGGGGCATTGCAGAGGGCTGTCCCTGGGGGGACAGTCCCACAGCCCCCAGCCCAGCACTGCCCAGCATGGGGTGCAGTGGGGTCAGGCAGTGCTGGGCTCCCTTTCCTTCAGGAGACCTGAGCTCGGCAAAGAGATGTGGCCTGGATGTCTCTCTGGTGGCGTCACGGCCTCCGTGCTGTCGGGTCTATGAGGATGTCACTCACAACTCCCCACCAGACCCTGGGTGGCTGCTGTCCGAGTTACACACGGACAAGCCTTGGCAGAAGCTGGCTGCCCAAGCTGATCCGACTGTCAGGTGGATGTTCCCCATCTGGGGATGGCGTTTTTCTGCGCTGCCTGGGGGCTGTAAAGGCCTCGGATGCTCCAGTGAGCGATAGTCCCTAAAGTTTGCAAAGGTTTGCTAAACCCTGGCGCAGAGGGGGTGGGGAGAGCTGTGAAAGGACAGACAGACGGGGCCGGGGGGAGGGAAAAAAGAAAGATGCTGAGGATTTCAGATCTGGCTCTGCAACAGTAACTTGACGTGGGGTGTGTGAAGGAGCCTGAAACTTAAAAAGATTTATTTTCTGTAGTCATAAATCTCATCCCGTTGTTCCTCTGACCAACCAAGCATGATAAAGTCCTTTTCCATAAAGTATTCAGTATTAAAGCCACAAAGCTCACCCAATCAGTAGCCATCTGCTTCTCCCATAACTGCTGCTCCAGAAGCAGGGAAAAGCAGCCAGAAGAGAAAGGGCACCACTGTTACGGCTCCAGGACAAATGAGGAGGCACTGAATAGCAGCCGAAACCTTTGGTTTGCCTTGTATATCTGTATCTATAGAGACAGAGGAAGAAAGGAAGCATTATATTGATACAACAATCGTAAAACAAAAAAAGGAAGAGGCATCTAAAGGGCAATACAGCGGGCATCAGAGGGCCCCGCGGGGAGGGATGCTCGCAGATTCGTACAGACCTTTAATTGCTTTGCAATTGAAAGATAAAGAGGCCGAGGGAAAAAACGGGGAGCACGGCAAAGCGACCTGCGTTACACGGTGCATCGGCGCCCGAGCTCACGCAGCCAGCGAGCCGGAGCGTTCCTGATCGGGGTACGATATCCCCGGGACCGACACCCCCGCGCCTCCCCCGGCCTCATCGCGGCCCGGCCACGCAGCGCTTAACTTGTTTTCCAGTCGGCTGGGAGGGAAGGACCCCCCCAACGCTCTCTCGGAGCTCCCCGTCATGAAGGACGCCTCCCGCAGCCTCCCTGGCCGCCAGGCTGCCCCCCCGGAGGGTGTTTGGCGGGACCCCTCCTCCAGCGCGGGGGACTCACCGCTCCCCCGTCGGCGCCGCTCCCGGCTGTACAGGAAAAAAGCAGCAACGGTGTCACCCCAAAAGGGACGCGGGGAGGGGGCGGCGGGAGGGTGATGGACCGGGGGCTGCAAGAGCCCCGGGGGGGTTGCAGGAGCCCAGGGCGGGGAGCGCCCGGCGAAGGACGGCCCCCGCCCCTTCCTGCGCTCCCGCCCGCCGGGCAATTAGCGGATTAATGACCGAGTTGGCTGGTCCTCTGAGAGACGAGTGTTCGAACGGGGCTCCCACCGCACGGCCTGGGGCGTGGACATCGCCCCCAGCCCGCGGGGACACGGACGGGGACCCACGGACACCGGGCGGGATTAGCGGCGGAGGGACGGGATTAGCGGCCGCCCGCGCTGCTGCCGCTCTCCGGGATTACGCCGGGATTAGGAGGCGGCCCCGTCCCTGCTCCCCCGCCGGGCAGGGTGGGAGGGGGAGCCCCGGGAGCTCAGTTCGGGGTGCCCGGGGGGGCCCTGTCTCCACGCTCTACTCGGCGCATGCTGCTTCCCTCCGATGGAGGGCAGGAGAGGAAAGACGAAGCCCGGGATGCTGCCGACGGCGAGATGCAGGTGCTAGGCACCTGCCCGCAGCCATCCCGGCTCCCGAGAGGCAGTGAGCCCCTTGCTCGGCCCCCCATCCCCCGGCACGGCAGGAGCCTGGAGAGACCAGCAGGAGCCAGAGCTAGAAGCACAGGGGACAAAAGAAGAAGGGTGGTGGGTTTTTCATTTAAGAACCCCTGGCACGTGAGGGAGAACAACATAAATAAGATTTACGCACCGATAAAACCAGGGGTGAGGAGTGAGAGACATGGATGTGCTTCCCTCCCTGCCGCAGGTTTGGTTTCTCTCGCAGAGCACGAGTGGGACTGAACGCTGTGTTGTAGGCACAAGTCACTCCGTGGCTTTTCCCAAGCACCATCATGTCCAGCAGCCCTGTATTATGTCAAAAATCTGGCATGGCAGGCAGTGGCACATCTGCTAGGTGTGGATGACATTCATTAGCCAAGGTTCTCTGCTAACGGCCTGCCAGAGCCTCAGCAGTGCTGCCCAATGCCAGTCACTCATCTGCTGCCAGCTCAAAGGCAATCCTGCTTCAGGAATGGCTTCTTTCCATGCTGGCAGGAGAAACAGAGGAAACAATGCAGTTAGATGTTTGGGATGTGAGCGGGGTTGGACATGGGAGCAGCAAGCAGATGTGGCAGGAGAGGAGATGAAGTTGTGAAATGTCATTTAATAATTGCAGCACACGGGAGATGTGCTGGTGAGCCGAGGTTTGGGAGGGGAAAGCGAGAACCCCTTTCCAAACCGCAGATCAGACAGTGGTGGATGCTTTTTGGAAAGGAAAGGTAATGAGGCTAATGCAGCAAATAACCTCGCTGTGCCCATGCGAAGGACACACACACCAGCCTGGGGAGACTAATGCCAGGGCAGTCAGAAAAACCACCAGGCCAGGGGAAGGAGGTGTGCTGATCTGCTTGATGGTCAGCCTGGCTCAGGTGTCCTTCCCCTCTGGGGGTCTACCTGCTGCAGCCTGGACAGCTGCCCTGCTCGTGACGTAGTGGGCTCAGTGCTGGTCATGACAGCTTGGTTCACAGCCCAGAGGGGCAGCTGCAAACCTGGGGCAGGCGGGGCACTCACCACGCTCTTCTGAGAGTGATGTGGTAGCCAGAGGTGGAGGGAAGGAACACCTGTTTGGCACTGCTACGAACATCAATCTCTGGGAGGAGAGGCTCTATTTTCCTCTGCTCAAAGGCCCTGTGAAGGTCCTTGTTCCTACGAACGAATTAAAACACCTTGAGATGAGATGGATGTAAAGATGTTAATCTTCCCCTCTTGTTACTTTAATAAATTTACAACCACCTAATGAGGTTTAAATTTGAGCCACTATTTGGTTTCCAGTGAACCTGTGAAGCAACCTCAAATAAGTGCTCAGTAAAAGCTCCCCTCAGCCCTGCCTTCCTTCAGCTTCCACTCCGACTTCTATTTCTGTTTACCTCCATTCACTTAAGTACTAGTTCATAAAATGTGAGATGCTACCTACACATGCACGCAGTCTTTGCCTCTCAGATAATTCCTGTGACAGCCTCAGTATCTTAAATCTTCCACTACTTTTGCTCATGCTGTCAAAGACCACCAGCAGCTCACAGTGCTCTTCCTGCTTCTTTCAGCCAGGCAGGGAATTACAGGTTTTTCCCCCAGCACTGGTCTCTCCGCGATTACCTGTCCTATTAAATCCCCGCATATACCTTCCTGAAGCCCCCTAAGAGCCCTGCAGCCACTTGTCCCCCCCCCGGCCAGCACACTGTTCCATGGTGGTGCCCATCTCCAACACCACACGTGCTCTGCCCAAGGCTGATGGGACACTCTTCCCACAGGCAGTGGCTCCCCCGCCATCCCCTGCCCAGCCATCTGCGGCACAGCTCAGCTGTGAGCCCTTTGCTTCTGCTCCCACCTCCCCGGGAAGTCGTTCTGCTCCGGCTGCATTCCGGGCTGAGCCTCATCCACCTTCTGTTTCTGCACTGGGTTTGTCTCTGTTCTGATTAGTTGGTTGGCCTCAATCAAGTAATGTCTGCAAATTATATTTCCCGAATTTCCTACTTTACGTGGTTTGACACTTGCTGTACCACACACACCAACACACTCCTGGCAGGGACTCTGTGAATCCCACAACCTTCTATCCTCAGACACTGGAACTGGGTGGCTTTAAGAGCAGAAACCAAATGAAGAGGCAGAGATGTGATGCTTCTCCCCCCTCTCCAAACATTATACCTTCACTTAAATACACGAGTAATCCCATTGGATCTACTCTGGTGCTTAAAGTTAAGCCTATTAAGTGTTCACGGGGCAGTGGTCTGCACACAGAGGAGCCAGAAGAGAGGGGAAAGGGGAAAGCAGGGCGCTGCTCCGGAGGGGAGACATGGTGGTGGCAAACACCTCCCTACTCTCCTTCCCCTCAGGGCCACCTCCTCCTTCGGCTGCTCCTGACAGCCCCGGCAGCAGGCTCCCTTCAGGGTTTGGCACTGCCACTGACATCAGCGATGTGAGGGCAGCAATGGTAAGGGCTGGCAGAATAGAGGGGAAAAACGTGCTTTAAAAGCTCCTGTCAACACAAAAGCCTGAATTGATTTTCTAATTCTGGGTTGGGCTTTGTGGTTACTGCGTCGGAAACTTTGTTTCATTCCGTTTTCAAGGTGTTTCTCACGTGACTCATTGTATTCATTGTCACTATTTTCAGACAATGAAGCAGGAGAGAGCAGAGTTATTGCTGCTCCTATGAGGAGGGTTTTTGTAGGAGAGCACTCATGCACGTGTTTCCTTTGCTCTCCAAGGATTTCAAGCATGTACTTAAATTTAAGCCCAAGTGCTTTTTGGAACAGGGAGCATCTCTTAGAACGGGGACTTGATTCAAAACCTGCATGTCCACAGAGCTCTGGCTCTTGACTCTTTGCTTCAAGCACTGAAAAACCTCCTGCCTCGGCTGCACAAAGCCATGTCCCATCCTTTCATGCATTTCTTGGCACGTGCACATTCTAATTCCCAACACCACCCTTTCTTCCCCTTTTCTTAGCTGGCTTTTCTCTGGGCGCAATGCATTATGTTTTCCTCTATGTACTACTCCATACTGCTTGCACAATGTTTTGCATGATCTAATATTCTTTGTTCAAAACTGCAAAAAAATCTAAATAAAGACTATAGCGTGTCGCATCAGTATAGGCATCAGCTAACGTTTTCCACGGCATATGGTACTTCAGAAGCCATATGTACCACTGTTTAGTGATTCTGGCAAAGAGGCACAGAATAGTGAAATCCAACTGCCAGGATTTCTGAAAACAAATATGTAAATGCTCCAGTGCTTTTGTTATTCATAACATACCTCTAACACAGCACATACAATATGCTGTTCATTCTGTAACGAGTATACTACTAAACTATATTTGCTTCAGTTCTCATTTTAAAAGATTTTTTTTCCTTCTGTATATGATTCCGCCATCCTCTCTATCAAAATCAATTTAAGTTGCAATTTAGAAAAGGCATTTTGTCTATTTTCAAGGATACACTTTTGGGGTGACTGTGTACCTACAAAACAGAATCACATCAGAACAAAGACAGACCTTATCTCAGCAGCCTGAGAGTGCCCATTCTAACTAGTGGAATGAAAGCAAGGAAGGGAAGTGCATTTAACCAGATCAGTTGTGCAGAGTGAAGCCTGTTTGGCCAGGAATAACCTCCTGGGGAACACGGGTGTGTTGGCCCCGCTCACAGGCTGATGCAAATCAAGCAGGCTGACAAAGCTTTTGGGAACAGGCCCTAGGAAACAATAGTTGTGGAGGAAACAGATGATTTCAGACACGTGGTCCAAGGTGGACAGCAGATGCCAAACTCTGACCTGGGCTGGGATCAGTCCCAGTGAGCCAAGGCTCTGCCAGTGGCCAGCAACAACGGATTTGGTCCGTGGCTGGGGGCTTGTCCCCAGAGAGGCCGGCAGCACTGAGGCCAGAGCGCCAGGGCAGCGCACAGAGCTCACAGGCAGCACTGTGCACCACTAAGGCTTCAGACCCCACTTGAGAAGGCAGGAGCCCTCCTTCCAGAGCCAGCACCGGCACGTAAACAGGAATCAACGCCCAATCCCATTAACCATCTCTGGCAGCGCTACTCCGGGTGCTCCTCTCATCCGCAGAGAGCCTGTCAGCTCCGCCTGGGATCTTGCTGTGATGAAGGATTTCAAAATGTTGCTGTTTAACATTCAGCCTTGCCATTCACAACAAACATTTTAACATTCCCTGTTGCCACCATTGCCTCTGTCTTTCGGTTTATCAGTGTACAAGGAGACTGAAATTCTGGGAGTGATCAAACATGTTCACGAGTTGCTCTGCAGCTCCCTCCCACCTTGCAAGTGGTACTGTTGTACATCACCAGGGCCAGTGCTCAGCATCCCATGGCTTTGAGTGACACCAAAAAACCAGGCAAACCTCAGGAGGAAAGGACAAATAGGAATGCCTCCGAGAAACATTTGCATTTTCAGTCTATTGCTTTTGTAATTGACACTGTTAAAACCAGCAAATCCATGACTTCCCGAACACCTTCCCGGCAAAATCTCTACAAGGACCTGAAAAAATTCAGCCATGTCCAGATATGACAGCATTATTCAAGACACACAGATGCCTTTTTCCCAAGAGATCAAGGACTGCTGCTCCTTTCTTTGCCAGTCTTACATTGCAGCATCCCATTTCAGCAAGCACAACCTCCCTCATGGGCATCTCGTTCCCAGCACAGCCTCTGCTTGACTTTCTACCTGTGCACATCAGACCTGCTCATTACTTCCTGTCTCCTGCCAGCCCCCACTGCAAACCATCTGGGTGCTCAAGTACCTCGTTTTGGGTAGATTTTTCCTTCTGCAACAGGAACCAGGATCCCACTTTGCTCCTCTGAAGCTACAGAAATACTCTGCTAAAAAGCTTAAGCCAGAGCTCTGCATGCAGCCAGGTCTTTCATATAGAAACACTTGGTTTTTTTTCTATTCTATTTCACAAAAGAAAACCTTAAAATAAGCCTTTATGTTTTTCTACTTTCACAGGTCCTTCAGCCAGAGCAGTTTCTTCCTATTCTGTTCTAGCCAGCAGGTGATAAAGAGTTGCCATAAGAAATGTTGGCTTTGAGTCCAAGTGCCAGGATTAGAAAAAGAGACAATTAGAAAGTGAAAAGTGGCAAAAAGCTCCTAAGAAGCCAAAAATAAAAGAACAAACAAACATACAATCTGGCTATCAAAAAAAAGCCACATTTTTCCCTTACTGCAGTAAAAATCAATGCTACAGCAATCACGGAGTATTTTGAAAGATAAGAAGTCATGGGGAGAGGGAAAAACAGTCCAACAGGGTCAAAAAGCTGGGGACAGCCCTGGGAAAACCACCTGATGGGGCTGACAGAGGAGGGGACAGGGAAAGCCAAATGCCTCTCACTGTGCTGACAGGACATTGCACTGATCCTGCAGCCACAGGCTAAGACAAACTACCCTGAGGGAAGGGAGCCAAAAAAAGAGCCCGTTGATTGAGCAGGTTCATGTGCACCGGCATTTATGGCAGAGCAAAGGTCAGTCTTGTATTACCTCTTGAGAATCCCTCTTGAACGAGCAGGCTGGGGATTTAATGGGCTAAGGACCAAGATTTATCGACATACCAGGGATTGCTGGCCCTAACTTTTAACCTGCTGGCAGAGGTGTGGGGGGGTTTCATTAAGTGGGGGCTATACATGGAGTAGTTGCTGGCTCAGGCCAAGAGTAAATGTGATCTCCTCCCACAGAACTTGCCACTGTGTTAGAGACACCAGACTATTTTCTCTCAGCACTAAAGTCAGCAGAAAGCCCTCACCTGGAACTGTTGGAGCAGCTGAGGGCACAGAGGGGATGGTGAGGGGAAAGCTGGAAGGGGTACCGTTGTACTTCTGCATTGCTCATCACATCTGTGAGCTCTAGATTGGCAGAGAAAACCCAAACCCACGCTAATGAACACAGCAGGTACTCCTTCTCTCCATAGGCACCCCCTCTCTGGAGCCATGAACACCCACCGCCCCTGATAGGACAGACCCCTCTCCAGGGCCATGCACAGCTCCCATCTGCAGTCTCCCCATGCCACCACAAAATCTGGCCTGTTTTAAGGGAGAGCAGTGCTCATGTGGGATATAACACCCTCGATAGGCTCATTCCTCTCCTAAACCCCACCCTTTTCTTGCACAGCAACCATGGCTTCAGGAGAGAGAACAACCTGAGCAGCTCTATATTTAGAATAACACATCCTTACACCTCTCCTGCTACCTATTTTCATTGAGGTCCACACCTCTGCACCCTGGTCCCTCCACCTGGAGCATCACCTCTGGCTGCCTGTACATGAGCTGCTGCATTATTTTTCCCCTGTTCTTCCTGGGATGTTTCTATGGGCCCTGCTGCATCCGTCACACTCTTATTTTACGAGATCCAGCTCCATTGTGAAAACCTCCCGAGCTTTCCCCAGACACTTAAAAAAAAAAAGCCCAAAAAACATGGACTATTTTTACATCCTGTTTTCACACTTAGGGTTCTCACGCATTCCACACTTATTCCTACCTTTTTCTTTTCCTGTTTCAAACTGAATTCCCAGTGGTGCTGGATGGGGGCACAGGGGCAGTAAATTCACTATGTCCTCCTTGGGCAAAGCTCTCAGCTGCCCTCTACTTCCCTCTTCTTTCTGTGGGGAGAGGCAAAGATTTCTCACTTGAGAGACACCATCCCCAGGAGCTTCTATCCCCCTTTGGGGCACTTACACAGCTGAACCCCTTTCAGCACCTGGGCTGCAGCAAGAACAGCTGGGAGAGCCAGGGAAGGACTGAGAGAGGGATTTCCAATATGTGCTCTTGTGGAAGGAGAGAATAATTGCTCTCCTGCAGCCTGTGCCAGCGCTTGTTCTTTGCCAGTTGGCAGAGGGTACTACTTCCCTTTCTGAGGAACCCTTAACATCCACCTTTCCCCCCAGGAAGGGGACCATAGAGGCTGGGGGGAGTCCTTCCAGGCAGCCAGGCATCTGCAAGGAGCTGCAGGCTTGGGAAAGAAGGAAGAACCCAGCAGAAAGAAAAGGAAGAATCCAGCTTCTGCTTCACAAACTTCTTTTAGCTGAAGGGGAGCAGCCGCACATATCTCCTTACCTGAGGGTTCCCATGGGAACACAGAAGGGCCCTGTAACAGCAAATTTTGGAACAGGCATGTCTGCGAACAACTTCTGATATAATATTTGAGTCCTCAGATGTTCAGCCATTTGCACATACTGCACGAGGGCCTGATTTGCATAGGATTTGTATTTGTTGCTATTCACATTCGTAGGGGAACGCATACATTAGATTAATGTCATCACAGTTTATGGAGATCATCTGTGCCACAGTACCAGCTCCGGGCTCTGGCTGCATTCTGTGCCCTGTGGCACACAGCAACCCCTCCTGCCCTGCCAGGGCCACGAGAGCTGGCACCAGGCCTGGGCACGGCCACACTGGGCCCCAGGGTGGTCCTGCTGAGCTCTCCTCTGCAGGAAGCCCTGCTAGCTTTTCCTAACAGAGAAGTTGAAAGATCATCGTCAGAAGCAACTTATTTAGGAAATATTGCTTAGCCCACGTTCCAAAGGTGAAATTAATCGAACTATTTGGAGTTATCCTCTTATATTTGCTCCTATGATCTTACATCACACTCTCTGCTCACATCTTCAGTCCCTACATAGGGACATTCACCTGTCAAACAGTCCAACTAGGTGGTCCCTTCCCATCTTGCATGAGCATCCCTCCCTTGGCAAAACGGGGTGGTTATTATTCCCTCTCTGGTTTTCCATGGCACCTGGGTGCTCTTGTCTGCTAGATAGCTGGAAGCTGTCACTAGAGATGCTGTTCTCACAGAAGCATTGCTGGGCTCAGTCAGTGTTTGTAAAGCAGATGGAACACCTCAGAAGAACAGCACTGCAGAAACAAAAGCTCGTTTTCTGCTAGGGAATTTCTACTATTGGGCAGTGCTTCCATCAGGTGACTTCATACCCCAGCGAGCCCACATGCCAGCACAGTCTAATGGTGATTTTGTTAACCTGCTTCCAGCACTGAGGCCCTGCAGCTCCACTTCCCAAGGCTGGCCACTGGGCCTTTTTCCATCTCTGCGCTCCCAAATTGGACGGCACAGAGAGCACCTGGGAGCAGCGGCAATGGGGGCTCACACCCCACTCTGGCCCTGGCACCCAGGATTTCCTGGTGGACAGCTCTCTGCTCCATCCTCAAGGAGCCACACGCGCCTCTTATCCTGGCATTCACTTCTGAGTCCCTCCTTGTGTGCATGATCAGTTGGATTTCCTGCAAAATCTGTCTCAATCTTGATGATGCAACCAAGAGGAAGTGGGTAGCGCAAAGGAAGGGCACACATCTCCAAGTCTGTGATGACCTCACACTTACCCTGGTAACAGGCCAAGTAACACCTTTTGGCAGCTGCTTAGAGCCCCGCTATCTGGGGCATGTGCTGCCAAGCCCATGCTCCAGCTACGTGTACAATCCAGCTGCTCTAATGGCTCCCTACCCAGGCACAATTCTCCCACCTCGCAGCACAGGTGCCATCCCACTGCGTCCCACGAAGCTGTTGTGGCATGGATAGCTCACCTAAGAGAAAGGCATGCACCATTCTAACATGGGTTACTATGCACAATTTCAATATATGGCTCTTAGAAGCAAAGTCTTGAAAAGTCCTTTCAGTATTTGAGAGCTTTACTCTTATTTTCCAAGGGACTTATGCACTAAGAAACCTAGATGGAAACCTCCAAGTGATAATCAAACCCCTTAGATATCTCAGAAAATGTCCCCAAACGATGTAACTAACACCCTCGTGACAAACAGCTCCCTATTTTTCTTTGTGATGGCTCCTACTTCCCACCAACATCTGTCACTGTGATTATGATCTCTAATGAGCTTCTAAATTATATTGCAGCATTTTGCCTTGATGAGCTACATTCAGTAACTTTCATTCTGCAAGACATGAAACACTTCCTACAAGATGCTGAATGAAAATTCCCTCAGCATAACAGCTGAGAAACTGATTTGTTTTTTTTTTTTTTCTTTTGCCTGTTTTGTTTGGGTTTTGGTTTTTGGTTTGTTTTTTTCAGTGTTCTGTTTGGCGTTTTTAGTTACACATCTTATTTGAGGAAGCCTAGGAACTTTACAAATAAGATACAGAGCTGTGAGCCCTTCTACCTTACACTCAAAAAATCTCCAGCCAGAGATGGGGTCTGTCTCTCACCACACAGTAGCAGAGACATCAAATGTTTCTGTAAGGCAGAACCGGGGGAAAAACCCAAGCCAAAGTCCCAGAGAAACTTCTCGTTATTTTTATGTTGTTTTTCAGTTACAACTGAAGGCTAGTTTGGGTGATTTATCCAGACACTTGGGATGTTGTACAGACTCAGTTTCCCCATGCTGCCAGGATACAGAATATGCCCCACAGCTCCTCATATGTATTTTTTCCCCCTGATGTTCACACTTAGTGAAACTGGAAAAGTGACTATTAACCAGCAAGGTTTGTTGCCTTGGCTGTGGTCACACATCCTTGTTAACAGATGCCCACCCTGGCTGGCAATCTGTAGGTGACTGGGATCTCTCTGATCCATGTTCCTGTTTATTCCTGAGGCAACAGCAGCCCTGCTCAGTGCTCTCACTGAAACTTATTCCTGACATGCACATTCAGTGTCACACCGTGCAGTGATGTCACCTGCCCATCTGGAAAAGTGTTAGACTATACTTTCAGGGATCATTTCTGTGGTTCAAGACAAGGACAGAGCAGGCAGATGTTTGTGTGTACAGCTTCCCCTGGGGCAGGCAGCAAGGGGCTGGCTCCCTGCTGGTGACTCATCTACGCCTTTCCCTGCCACTCATCCAGGGTTTGTGACATGGCTCATGAGAGCTGTGATCAGTACAGTTCGATTTATAGGACAGGATCTATGGGGGTTATTCCTTATTTTCTGCAGATAAGGACAGGCAGTGTTGATGAGCAGTTGCCACATTTCCAGCTCAGAGTAGCTGTGCAGGTGGGACAGCACAGGATTGGTAGGGAGCTGCTGAGGGGCTTGTGCACCATCACTTGTCTGTGCCACCAGGTGAGTTGCCCAAGTGAGCACACACTGACTCATAATCGTCTCCGACTCAGGAAATGAGTTTGTTGGGGAATTAAACCACGTCTTATTCGCACATCCTCAGCAGGGACTGAAGCCCCTCCCTGTTCTAAGTGCTTCACTACATATGTCTTGTGCTATGGTACCATGGTACCACAAGCTATTGTGCTTCTGCTTTAACTTTGCTGAACAAAACATTTCCTTTACAAAGCCTTTTTTACAGCCAAGAGACCACAAGAATTCAACCCAAACACTAAAATACTGCCCCATGGGGATGACAGTTTAGTACCACAGCTCTTTTTCTGTGACTATTACTGTATGTCAGCTGTACATGTTGCCACAAAGCAAGGCCAAATACGCCACCTTCTACATGCATATAAGCTGATCCATGAAAACATGAAGCCCTTACCAAGCCGCTTCACCTGCTCATCCCTGGGTGATCCTTCCTACCTTTATAGGCTATTGCATTTGCTGCTCTGCCAACACTGCTGCTGGAAACACAGCCTGCAATCCCGACAACACAGCTCCACCTCCAGCCACCCTACCTGCCCAGACACAGGAAGAGAAAAGGATAATCTTTTGGATGACAGACAGTAAGACATGAGTACAGCTCACCATATAGTACAAGTTAAACTTCTTAAGTGTGGAGAAATTGAGGAAAAAATAATTCAGAGTCATGCAGATGTAAACACCAGTCAGATAAGAGACATCCCAGATACCTCACTCCCGTCTGAGGGCCAGCACAGTCACACCGATGTACAGAAGCATTTGTCATCCAGGCAGCTGGGGGAGCAGCTCACACGAACAGGGCAAGTGAGGCTGACGTACACGGAGTCACCGGCAGGGCTCAGCTGGTAAATAACCAGGCATGGCCCTGACTCAGCCAGCAAACACTCCCACACGCACCCTTCCTGCCCTGCAGTCTGACAAGGAGCAGAACCAGGAGCTGACTGCAATAAAATCTCAACCTACCTGCTAAATGTGGTGTTTCGCTGAGCACATCCTCTAGAAGGTCTGGCTGGAGTTTGCAGGTCGGTGTACAAGTCTTCAGTAACCTGACGTTACACAAGGCAGCGGAACACAGGACTGCAGCCGAGTGCGAGATCTGCATGTAAGAAGGGAAATCCCCCAGTGAGGTTGGGAAGTACCTCTGATGGTCCTGCCTCCTGCTCGAAGCACGATCAACACCAAGTCCAGGCCAAAGTTCAGGGCTCTTACTAGTCAGGCCTTAAAACCCCTTGTGGGAGCCAACTGCACCTCTCTGGGCTGCCCTGCCCAGTGCTCAGCTCTGGCTTTGTGGTAACAAAGTTCCCCTGCATTCTGCTGCTCCTCCTCCCAGCCTCAGGCATGCAGCTAGCCCATCACCTGTCCCTGAGGATCTCTGTACCTACAGAGGACAATCCGTCCCCCAGAGAGCCCGTATCTGTCCCCCTCAGTGCCTGCATGGCATCCTGGACCAGCAGGGACACTCCGAGGCTCTGCCCCTCCTATGCTGGCCATGCCACAAGAACCTCTGAGCTCTCTGAGCCCTTCCAAGGGCTCTCCTGCCCACACCACCCTGCCCTGCATGCCCAACACCTGGAGCCTCACTCCACAGTGCTCCTTCCCTCACTTGCTACCAAAAAGCAGAGACAGAGCCCTTCCCCAACTTCCAGGTGCCACAAGCTGCCACCCAGCCCCACTCTGGAGCCTCCACCTCTTCTCATGGCAGCACCACCTCCAGCCAGCCCTCCTCTCCTGTGTCCTGGCTCTTACCTGCAGGCAGGTCATGATAGAAGCTCCACCAAAGGTCTGACATCTCCTCATCTGCCCCTGCTGGTGCTACGCAGTCCCAACCCCTTCTTCAGCTCTTTCCTCCACAGAGCTCCACCAGGCCAGACTCCAGTCCCATATCTTCCCCCTGACAGCACCTGCTTCCCCCAGGCATATGGAGAACCAGGTATCAACTAGCTACCAAGCTCCCATCGCACATCCCTGATGTCCTGGGAACAGTATTTCTACCTCTTGCTGCTCTGCAAACCTCCACACTCTGTGCTGAGCTCCCACGCACGACCCTCTCCCACCAGCAGCAGCATGCTGCTTAGGTAATCCCCAGGAAAAAAGAGGGGAGCCTCCAGGTACAGCCCTTATAAACAGAGACCTACATTTAGGGAAAAACAAACAGCTGTTGGCAGCTGCAGGTGGGCCCAGAAGCAACCTAGAGCACTGATCCCCACCTAAGGAAAGCAGAACCTGCAGGTTCCAACTAAAGTAAATGCTCAACCGGCAAACTCCAAAACTGGGAAACCCCTCAAATCATGGGTAGAGAAAAAAAAAGAGGGAAAAAGGGGAAGAAAAATATAAATAAAGTGTCAAAAACCACGGAAAGGAGTGGTGGAAAATTGCTGAAAGAAGCACCAGTAGTAATGCCAGCAAAGAAATCTCGCTGGCAAAAGAACACGGAGGAGTAGGTTTTTACGCCGAGTCCAAAATTCCTCCCCCCAAAACCAAACAAGTTCTCTAAGTGCTGGTCTTTACTGAGCACCCATATCCCTCCCGGAACGTCTCCCCAGCCCATACCTCCTCATCAGCAGGCACGATAACCTGCAAGAGGTAAAGCAAGCCAAGGAACAGACCCAAATCCCAGGGACACTTCTGGTTGGCCCTCAGTTGAATTGTGTTGGGTCAAAGCCTGGGCCAGCTGTTTGGGCACGCTGCTGCTGTGGGGCACATGGCCCTCCGGGACTGTCACTCGCCCAGCCTTGCACGCCGGAAGAACCTGGCACAGATGACTCCATGAAACCAAATTAGGGGTCATACACAAGAAAGGACATTGCCACAGCTCTGGTGTAATTAGGGCCCATCATCATCAAAGACAGGAAATTGGCACATCTGCTTTTTGGGCTGCTGACCCAACCGTGGCTCGGGCGTGCTGTCCTGCTGCAGCCCGCTGCTCCTCTGTAAATATTGACCTAGTTGCCCCCTAACAGTAGTACAAGCAGTTGTTTTATTGTTCATCCTCCCAGTTGCTCTTTCCTCGTTCTCCCCTGGTCCTGGGAGGACACAAGGGACTTCACAGTACAATGCCCTCTCTCTCCTCTGCAGCGGCAAAGGGGTCAGGCTGGATGGATAAACATCAGCCCCTTTTCACCCAGTGTGACCCCAAACTGAGCACAAGTGACATTTCTGTCACCACAGGGGGGTTTGAGCCTGTTCCTCTGGAGTTAATGATAAAACTGTCACAAACTGGGTGGCTGTGGAATCATGACCTGTGCTTTTTTAAAAATTATTTTTCTCCATACGCGCCTCAGAAACGTGTTGCCCCTTTTCTGGGGGGCACTGCTCTGCAGGCAGAATTCCTGCCTGCTCTATTCCTCTGCCTCCTCTGGTTGGGCCATTGTTTCCTGACAAGACCAAAAAGGGTCACTGCAGCTCTAGAGTTGTGCTAAACTCCCAGCCCCGGTGATCCCTGGGTGCTGCTCTGAGCCAGCAGCAGCTCCTGGGCCAGAGTAGGACTTCCATGTTTTCTGTCCTGCTTTCTTTTGCTCTCCTGGGCCAAGAGGGATTTATTTTTATTCTGTGGTGGTTTGTGCCAGGGCAGGGCACCAGCCAGCAGAGAACCACACCAAAGAATAACGGATCCTGCTCCACCTCTGCTGAAACAGAAGTGAATCCCAGGGATCATCCTTGGCTCCTCAGGGCAGCCAATCGGCCAGTGTGCACACAGCAGGGGCATTACTCTGTATTCCCACATTTATACCTTCCCTCATCCGTACTGCTAGTCTTTATGTTTCCTAGTTTTCAGAGTTGAGGGCTTTTCCCCCCCCCTGTGTTTTCATGTGTATTTTCAGTGGGTACTGAGAATGCTTCATGATCTTGGAAAAGAAGGGTTATTCAGGAATTCTGAGCTTGCATAATTCCCAAATTTGTCTGGACAGATAGTTTCCATCTGGGTGATGCATGCAACACCACAGGGAAATGAGAGTTCCTTTGTTACTTAATGCTGTCCTTTTTATTTATTCATTTCTACGCTGTTTTACAGGATGAGCACAGACAGGAGGCTACAGCTGTAAAGGAAAAAGGATTTGTACCTAATCCTTCAGGAGGCAGCTCCCAAACAGGTCCTGCATGTTGTATGGGGTCCTTCTGGTTTCTCTATCTTTTTATAAAGCATGAGACTTCCATGTGTGGTTCATATCCTGTGAGGGGAGAAGAAAAATATTTTTCTGTGAGCTGCCCTAAGTCAAATTCTGAAAGAAGCAGTTTTAAGCTGGAATGGAAGGGTTCCCATCAGCATCACCTGACCTTGGGGTTGCACAGCTCAGGGCGTCTGGAAGTGCTGGCTGGTGCCAGTGCTGTGGAGCAGGACCTCCAGCTCCCCCCTTTCATGCTGCTCCTGGATCATCTGGTAGAACAGCAATCCCGGACCTTAGTCAGAAAGGAGATTTAATTAATCAGCACTGCAGCCGCACATACAGACACACCCAGGTTTCATTTTTCCCAGACAAAATTTTGGCAATTGTCGAGCATCCTGCAGAAAGCAGGCTGGCTCACAGCTGTTGAGCAGAGGTATCATGGACCAGAACTGGATATATCAAGCAACAAAGCCTTCCTGACCCTCTGTATTGTATGGAAAAGGCAGCCTGTGTGGCTGCCGAGCTGCTGTTTGACTCTGATCCTCAGCACAGCAATGAGGATTTCCTCCCCCCAAACTCCACCTTTCTGCTGCAGCATTCCCAGGGACCCAAGGCTGGGCCAGGCTCACAGCCAGCTTACACTGAGGGTGACTTTTTGCTCCGACTGCTCACTCCTGAAACACACCGAGTTCGGTTTGGCACTCACACAGCCTGCCTGAGGTCTTCCCGACTGGCTTGGGCCAAAAAAAAGGTGGGAGTGGGTGGATGTTAAATGACAACATGTGTGGAGATCATCTGCAAATGCTGGAGACAAAGGAGAGAACTGTATAACCCCAAAGGTGCTGTAAGCTGTTCTGTTTACTACTTTCTCTGCAGTAAATCTTGGCAGTGTACTTGTGTTCATCTGCACATCGACCTTTCATGTGAAAACTTCTGCTTCTAGTGCCGGGTTACTTTAAAGCTGTATTTATTTAAGAGTTCTGTTTTAAATGACCGAGGACGGTTACCCCACGGTCCCTCTGTTTTCCCTGCTGTCCCAGCCACCAGGGAATACTACAGCACAAGAAACCAGTGTAAAGGAGGTCCTGTAAGCTCCACTCCAGACCAACAGGTCAAGGAGTGAGTGCCACCTGTTGCTTCTCCAGATGTGGAACCAACATCCAGAGGCAGCAGGAGACTTAGTGGCAGAGGGCTGCAGCCAGCCTGGTTCCCTCCATGCAGTCAAGAGCACGAGCAGTCTCCTCCTGCTGCTGCAACACGATCTTTGTCTCAGTGCTGGCAAGCTGCTAATGCCCCATCCAGCTCCTTGGATATCAGGAAGATATCAGCTCAGCTCCAGGAGGCAGCTTTCCTGAGGTTTTGTGTGCACACAGTGAGAAACGCCCATCCCGCTGGGGCCGGGCACCCTGGGCCAAGGTTTACGAAGCACTGGGATGCTGGAGGAGGCTGGGACAGAGCCAAGCATCGGCTAATGAGTTCTGGGAACCGGGAAAGGAGGCTCTGGGCCCGTGTGCGAATGAAACCAAATGCAAGCAAATAGCCACGATCCATTGCCCTGTACCTCCTCTGTGCCTATCTCCCTCTCATCCAGCCATTCCAGCAAAACAGGCATGATTTATCTGCTACTTCAGCAGAAACCACAGCCTAAAAGAGGAATTTGTACACTTGGAAACAAGAAAAGAGCAAACTGGCAGGAGTGGCTCATTCCAACCAGTGGGTCACATGTGCCTGAAGCAAGATTTCCAACATCTGGATAACGTGACACATACTCCCAGACAAGGCGAGTGCTCTCGGGGCTTGGAGAGGACTCATGCAGCTCAGAAAGCTGGAGTGCAGCTGTTTCTGGGAAGCTCAGCAAGCCGGCTCTTCTGTCTCATGTGCCTCTGCGAAGAGGGAGAGGTGGCACTGCACGGCCTTTCCTTTGGTGGGGTCTTTGGCAAAGCACAGGCTGCTCTGTCCTTAATCTTTCGTGTTTTGTGCATCCACAGGGACTGTAAAACAGTGCTTGCTTACCCTTTGGCCTTGCTGCTCTAAGACATTAAGAACTTCACGAGCCAGATTTGTGGCTGACATAAATCACTGTTGGTCCACGGACTTTCATGAAATTTCCAACTTGCATCACACAGATGCTTGGCTTGGTGTTCGGATCTGCACAGAGAAGGCACTCTGACATGGACATGTCAGGTCAGAGCACTGTGGCTTCAGGAAACCATCCAGAGAGGGCAGGAAATGGGATGAAATCGGATGAAAGGAAAGCTCTCTGGCAGGATGACTCTGACTTCCCCATCTCCTCTTGCGGAGGGAAGAACCTCGAGATCCTTTTTGAAGCAGACGACGTGTCTGATTCACCTCCACGGCCTACGGGAGACACATGATCCCTGTCAGGTCAGTTTCTGTTGTTGTTTTTGTTGAAAACCCCCACAATCCTGAGGTATTTGTGCACACAAACCCCCCAACTTCCCATAACATTAAATTTATTTGGGGAATGCCGGTAGCGACACGAATCCAAGTGTCCCACCCGGGCGGGGGCACGGCCCGGCCCGCGCGCGGGACCGCCATGGCGAGCGGGGGCGGCGCGAGCCCGCCCGGCCCGTCCCCCGCCCCAGGCGGCGCGAGGAGGGCGGGCCGGGCCGGCCCGGGCGATCCGCGGCGGCGGCGGCGAGAGGCGGCCACTCCGGCGAGCGGCAGGACGGCAGCGCCCGCCTCCGCTCTCCGTCGCCCGCAGGATCCATGGCGGGGGCCGTGCCCCTGCAGCTGCTGCTGCTGCTGCTGCCGCTGCTGCCGCCGTCCGCCGTCGCCGTGCCGGCCGCGGGCGAGCCGTCGTGCCACGGAGCCTTCGATATGTACTTCGTCTTGGACAAGTAAGGGAGGAGAGAGAGAGAGGCGGGAGATGGGGATCGCCGCCATCGGGGAACGGGGAAGCGGGGGCGGCGGCGCCGCTTTTGTTCGGGGGTCTGAGGGGCCGCGCGCGCGGGGCGGCCGTTGCGCGCTGAGGGGCCGCGCGCGGGGCGGCCGTTGCGCGCTGAGGGGCCGCGCGCGGGGGGGGGGGGGCGCTGAGGGGCCGCGCGCGCTGAGGGGCTCTGAGGGGACTCTCCGAGAGGAGCTCGGCGGGAAGTTCGCGAATCCCGCTGGACCTCGCTGCAAGCCGGCGGGTCGCGGATTCGGACAGGGGCGTCGGAAGTTCTCCCCGGAGGGGTGCTGGTGGCCGGACATGTCGGAGGAGCGAAAGCCGTAGCATCTGTCGCCTCTCTTCGTCCCGCGGCGGCCGCCGCCGGCCGGGCTTTTGTGGGCAAGTTCGACGGCCGCGATCGCCCTCAGGGAGGGGCGGGGGGGAGAGTAGGGCCGGGGCCGCCTCACGGCGGGGACCGCGACAAACTTACCGGCGCCTGCCGCCCCGAGCCGGGCTGGCCGTGACTCCAAGTGTTTGGAACAGCAAATATTGTTAAGTTTCTCCCTGAAATGTCACCCAAGATCAGGCCGCTTATGTGCTGTGGTTTTCCCTTTCAGGTCTGGGAGCGTGGCAACGAACTGGCATGAGATATTTGATTTTGTACGTCAGCTGACAGAAAGATTTGTGAGGTGCGTGGTGCTGCCTGTAACAGCCGGGGTGATGCTGTGGTGATGCTGGGCTGTGTTAAACACCCCTCCCGTGCTTTTGCAAGCTTAGGGGATGTTCACAAACACCATAAAGTTTGGCTTCTAAGACTCCAAGTGCTGGAAAATATTGGAAACTTGCACTTTATTTTCGTGCTTGGAGCTCAGCAAAAAGGTGATAATATGCATCTTTAAGTATTTAGCCTCTAAAATTACTCTTAAGATGTGATTTGATAGTTTTTTAAACTTCTTTTTCCACAAGCCACGTGCCTCATTTCTGATGGAGTACTGTTCATATGCTGCATTTGGAGATCTTTATAAAGCAGCAGGTCTCTCTGTGTGTAAATATATGGTGCAGGTCAGAAGGAAGAGAACAGTGTTAAACCTCAAACCCAGAGGGAGCCCATGCCATGTAACAATGTGTTTGTTGTACATACCTGTAATCAACTTTGTTACTGCCAGCAGTGTTGTCCGGCAAGTCCTTCTCCCGTTGAAACGGCAGCTGTGAAACCCGAGTGACTGAGGGTTGCTGGGTTGCAGCATTTTGCTTTAAAAAAAACTCACAACAAAACTCAGAATAAACCAAAGGAATCCTCCCATACACAGGCAGAGATACTGTGGTAGGTTTCGTTGAGGAAAACAGTGCAGTGTGCAGTTGTGATCTTGGCTTGCTAATAAAGGGATACAGTTAGGCTTATATAATTAAACACTGCTTATTTTCATCCTGTAAAAAGCAAATCTTTAAACTTCTGTAAAACTTCTGTTGAGAGGGACAACAGAAACTTTCAAAAGTTGTTTTGTGAGCTCTAGAGTTAAAAAAAAAAAAAAGTAAAAATAGAGCCTGAGGAGATACTGAAGCAGCACTTCTTTGGACTAAGTGGGAAAACATTTGCCCTCCCTGAGAAGTATGGTGCTGGTTCAGTGGAAGCATTTCAGTTCAGCATCCAGTGACACTCCCTCTTGCAACAGTTGCATGGAGGTCTGCCAGTGTCCCGAGTGCTCACGGAGCAGAGCAGGGATGGGATGGCTCACGGACAGGATTGTTCTGTGGTGGCCTAAAGAGAAGTTGGCTAAAACATAACTTGGAGGTTATTGCACACAGAGTTGCATCTCAAACAGCGAAGTCTCACAGTAATCACTAGGCAATGATGCAACTACCACAGATTGAGTTTGCAAGCATTTTGCAACTAGAAAGATAGATAATCCCATGGTTTCGGTTCTGATTTAATTTAGAGCATCTCAGAATTTTGTGGATAGACTGCAAGGATGGATCCTAAATCCAAGGTCTGTGCAATTCTGTGCAGACTTGCAATACTTACATTCCCATGATGTCAAATAATTTGAAGTTGCATCATTGACGTCAGCGAACTGAAAACATAGGGTCGTTCAGCTTTACAGGTGTTATGTCCTTATGAACATGAACCTGCTTAATTAATGCTGATACATATATACAGTGAATTATAAAGTTACTGAACGTATTGGAATTGTAATGAATAAAAATTAAAAGCAAGTAGGAGAAATGTTACAAATTACCTTAGTAAAGTTCCTGTCTTGGGCTTTCAGAGCATCAGGCAGTTCTTAAGCATTTTCCACTGCTAATTGCATGATTCTCTGTAACCTTGTTCAAAGAGACAGGTTAGCTTCTTAAAAAAATATTGAACTCCTTGATAAAAATCAATTCATACAGTATTGCATTTTACTGTGACATTTCCCTGGATACTTTTAGGGAAGTTGATTGCCAGTCTCAGAACTCTGTCACCGAAACAAAACCAGACTCACTCTGGAAGAGTTTACATGCTGCTTTTTTGGGGCTGAGGCAGTCATCAGGCACTGGTTCTGTGACTGGAGTGATTTGATGACCAAAGAGCACAGTTGGAAATTGATAGTGTGTCAGCCTGGAAAAAAAGGGGAAATGTGTCTGTGGTTAATACCCAGAGCAGGGGGAATTCTGCATCTGTGACCCTGGCTTTGTGTTACACCAGTGACAACAACAATACCCAAGGAATGTGCGTTACCTTCTCTGTGGGGAGAGATCATATCCTGGGAATTCACTGGACTCTAGCTGAGTGAGAGAGAGTAGCAATTCTGCTACTTTGTTCTCAAAGCATCTGAGTAAGGAAAAGATGGGCAGAAATCTTTTCATTCCTCTCATTTTGTGTTTGTAGTTCAAAAGGATGTTCCTGGGAAGCTGGAGGGTCAAGATGATGTGAATGAAGCCTGAACAAGCAAATGAAATGCTGTGCAGCTGTACGTTTCTCTGACATATTTTTTTTTCCCTCTTTCCCTTTTCTAAAGCCCGAAGATGAGATTATCGTTTATCGTGTTTTCCACCCAGGCACACGTCATCATGCCGCTCACTGGAGACAGGTTAGTGCACTGCTGTTAAATTCCCCCTCCATCCCCCCAAGGGCTCTTACTGAACCAGAGGAGCAGTGACAGATCAACAGCTGATACCTCTAAGTGGTGGCTAGTCGTGAAGCCTCCATGCAGAGCTGATTTAATTTGGTGACCGTATCAGTGGATAGCCTTGTAAAAAAGGAAGAAGTGGAATGATGGGAAACAAATCCTTGATGTTAACTCTGCCACTGCTTTGCAGAACAACACCAGTAGTGTATTCATCTCTGTGTGATTCTGCATCTCCCTTGGCCCAGCAGGAGAATGATTCTTGCATTTACTGTTGTAAAGCCATGTCCGTAGATAAGTTTTCAGGATTTTTTTCATCTCTAGGAAAAGCATAAAGTAAATAAATGTTTCCTGCAATCTCACATAAGGTAGGTATTCTGGTTTGTATTTCCTAAATAGGACTTCAGATTCTGGTTTAAACAGTGAAGTTGGTGCCACTTGAAGGGTGTGAGGTCTTCCTGGCACCGTGATGATGTACATATGTGCCTGAACTCTTCTTCCAGTTGATGGTTTCAAAGGCATTGGAATTCAAGGCTGCTCGCTCTGATTTCTAAAGCAAGTAAGGATCAGCAGTTAGGATAGCTCAAGGATGAGTGAGGGGAGACAGAAGGAGGAAACCAGGTAGAGAAGAGAAAGTTGCAAAAATAATTACTGGAATCACACAAATTGGGAAATGATCTTGTGGAATGAGTGCTTTTGGCAGCAGACAGTGGCATTGCTGTCGAGAGTCCTTCAGTGTTCTCTCAGCCTTGTCAAAACCAACACGACCTCCTCTCCCTTTTGTCCAGAACCTACTGCGGCACACAACCTTCTGGATTTTGAAAATGTGGGTGAAGCGTTTAGGAATAATTCCAATTAACTGTGGCTGGGTGGAAGTGAGATGGTCCTTCCTTTTTGCTTCCTTTAGTAGGTCAATGCAAAATGTGGTCTGCCATAGTTGCTTAGTTTCTGCTATGGCGTTGTTTGATTGTTTTAAATAATACATAAGGGCAAGTACAAGACTTCCTGAAAGACCTGTCATGGGCAACAGACAGGAGTTAAGCTTACAGAAATGTAGCTGACATCCGAGATGCCTAAAAATCCAATTCTAAGCCCCTCCTGTTGTAGCATTTGGAAAGTGGTCTGACTTGAGAACAGCCACTTCCAGATGGCTTGAGAAGGGTCAGAAGAGGACACTCGAGCCTGTTCTGAGGCCTGCTGAAGTCAATGAGGTCCTTTCTCTCCGTTAAAATAGGCCTGTCAGTGGCCTGTTCCTTATCAAGCACAAGAGCCAGCACTGATAGCACACAGACCACTTGGAATGCTGGGCAGGATGCTGGAGCCCTGCCACAGGAACACAAGTGCCTTTTTCATTGCCTGTCTGTGGCATGCTTGCAGCCATGGATAGAGCTGTGTTTAAAGCACAGAAAGAACCTCTGGAGCTCTAGTGGGTTCCCTTGGGGGACTTGGCTTTAGTGCAAGGTGGGCTGATGCTTTTGTGAGTGTGGCAGGGGAAAGAAAGTGCCACCCTTACTGTTCAGGAGGAATTATAAGGAGAATGGGAAGGAGACTAGTAAATGTGACCATATGTACATAGGCAAGAATGGATAGAGTTGGAACAGCTGTCCTTTTAAATATTAAAGAGGTCAACAGAGGAGAATCACTGAAACTGTCTGACTCCTATTGTTCCCAACAGAAGATGAGGACGCTAAGTGCAGTTCTGGGGATGGGTGTGTGTGGGTGATTATGGGCTATTATGGCCTCAGTTTGTTGTGTGCACTCTGGACTAGCAGACATGGTTTTGCCCTCACTTACTTGCTAATTCCCAAATGTCAGAAAACCACAATTCCTTCCTAGCAGTTAGATCAAAGTAAGGCAGTATTTTTTATTTTGAAAGCCTTAGGCTTCTGGTTGTTTGCACAAAGGTCTTGCTGGTTTTACTGCACAATAAAGCTGTGGATATAAAGAAAGCCACACCATAGTGCCAAAGCCCCTGAATTCCCAAATATTTTGTGACTTTGAACAATACTCTGTGACTAACTCTGGAAACAGAAGTCACTGTTAATCGCAGTGCACAAAGTGCTGTAACAAATACATAGAATAATAACAACACTCAGATGGAAAAGCCTTCTCACAGTGGTTACAGCCCATTTGGGACACACATGTCTGTGAAGTTCAGCTGCAAATTGTGCACTAAGTGGTAAACAAAGATTGGTGTACTCACATTTGGGGCTCAGTGTTGGAAAGCAAGTGGTTCGGGAAAGCAGATACACTCACGAATACCATCCAGCTGGCATAGCGTTGCCTGTGCTCTCTTTTGGCCAGCTGTGCTGGTTTCTGTAAACCTGCTTCTGCAGCACTGACTGGTGCCAGTGGCCAGGACTAGCCCTGCTGCCTTTGCCTGGGTGAAACTCTTACTGGAGATAAAAAGATTATGTTAATGAAGGTGGGAAGATAGAACACTTGAGTACTTAGTATGTGACCAACCGTACCATCCTGTGCTTGTCCATAGCCTGGTGGTGCACTGACTGCTCCTGGTTTCACAGGGGTGTGTAGGACATGGATGTGCTTGGAGCCTCGGTCATGTGAGCTGTGCCTGCGCTTGGATCCAAGTAGCTTGCCAAAGTAAAGCCATCTGCAGAGAGTGTGTTCCGTGGGGTGTACCAAGTACAGCAGTTGGCCACCGATGTGGTTTCCACGTGGAGCCCATGCAGGAGGCCTCAAGTTTGAAGCAGAGTAATTATTATAATTTAACCAAACCCTTTGTAGTATTTAAGAGGCATAGAAAACATGAATGTCCTCCAAATGACACATCTGAGGAGGCTGATGTGAGTTGTCATACTGGTGAAAGGAAACCCCACACATCGTCAGGGACAGAGCGGTCCCCTTTTCAGTCAAAGAACACTTCCTCCCTCTTGGTTTCACTAACAAGTTGGTGTTTTCCTGTTTATTGCACTTCCTTCTTAGCAGCAAACCCCAAGTACCTGTTTTGTTTGTCTTCGTTGGTTAGAGATCAGTCGGTTGCCTCGCAGCACACAGCCTCATTCCACACCATAAATACCTGCTCAGTGAGAGCCACTCTCTGCTGCCAGTGCTTGTACACTCAACACACTGAGAGAACTCAAGATTCCAGCACTCCGGTGGGTGGAATGCGACATGGGAAAGACATACAGGACACTGTCCCTCACCCAGAGGAGCTAAGAACACCCCTTCTGGAAACCGCACGGGTATTAACAGCTGCGTTTGCCTGGCTGCTGCTGCGAGAGCTGTTTGAGGCAGTTACACAGCTTAGAGAAACAGGAGTCGGGGATAGCTGTTAAAAAGTAGTTGTGTCTGTGCTAAAACACGGAGATGGGCTGCAGCGTGTATGCTCAGTGGGGAAGAGAGATTAAATTTGCACGTGCTCAGCCCAAACACAGGCAGGCTGCAAGTTGCTGATTCTGTTTGCCTTTTCCACCTCCCTCCCGTGTCTAACTAGCACCATGAAGCCAGTGGCCCCTCACTCAGCCTTTGTTACTGTTCCCGAGCTGTGCTGCTCTATGTCCAGGCACCCAAGCCAAGGGCAGGACTCTGCTGTCTCCGTACAGATGAGTTACACAACCAGGCCTTCTCTGGGGATTTCTGTGGCTACCAAAAGTAATTACAGAAACTAGAGAGAGGGAAGTTGTGAGAGCGTTGAACAGCAGGAACGGGGTTCCCAAGTGCTGTGGCTGGTTGACTGCAGTCCCGTTATCAGAGTGGTGCAGGCAGACATGAGCTCCCCTGCCCACCCTTCTCAACTGGCCAGGGGTGGGTTTTAGTGTGACAGAGCCCACCTCTCCTGCTGGCTGCTGGGCCCAAGTCCTGCACCCACATTGGGCAGCTGACATCCAGACCAGGACTCGCTGGTACCTGACTGACTCAGAGCATGCGTGGAGCTTGTTCACATCTGGCCTGGGTCTGTCTAGTGTGACTGTGCCCTGAGGAAAGACAGGGTGACTGATTAAACGAAGCTAAAAAAGCTCATGCTGCCAAAGATTTTCCTGGAACCCCTTGTAGGCAGAGGCCTGGCAACACCAGAGATTTCTGTGTGACCGGGTCACAAGACGTTGCAGATAAATAAAACCGAACTGATTGTACAAAAGCTATTTTTGCAAAATGAAATCTGTTTCAGAAAACTGGGACTTGAGTTGCTGCTTGTTTCTTGGCAGCAGAGCACTAACGCCTGTGATGTGCTGCCACTCATTTCTGGCAAGCTCCAACTATGTGGTTTATAATCTGCGTTCGTACATAATCACTTGCAAGTTGTTTCTATAGATGCTGAATATAAAATATTTGGATCAAACAGATTGTATTATCTTACATAACTTGTTCCCTTCCATACATTCAATGCCACACCTCTCTCTTTTTTACCCCCTCCTCTCCCCGATTCTACGATCCTGTGATGGGGAGCTTACGGGTTGTACTTTAGAACAGAGCTGCTAAAGATAGAGGAAGCCCATCCGTGGAACAAATGACGAGTGGGTGGCATTCAGGCAGTGTGGCATATGCATTCTTTCTCATTTGGTCTGGCCTAAGGAAAGCTTTCATGCATCCTGTGATGTATTTCTCCTGCATCTCCTCACCCCTGCTGGGTTCCTCTTTCTCACCTAGGTTTGTCAAGTGTTCTATATATTCCAGCCCAAATTTTGTCCCAACTTAGTTTTCACTTGTCCTTTCCTACCGCAACTTTCCATGGACTTCACTGGAACTGTGCTTACAGAAGACTCAAGACCCTCCAGATTTGATTTTTCAAGGAAAGTCTCTCTGCCTTTTTTTTCCCCACTTGTGCCGATTTCACTGGAAATAATTCCTGTCATGCTGTCTACCAGCTTCTCCACTCTCATCCCCATAGTCAGCGAGCATCTCGCAGATGGATCTGCTGGAGTGCCCGTGAGAAATCACAGTGCAACCATATTCTCCTGTTAAATTTAAGTGAGCTGTGACCTGCATAAGTGTGACGTCTTATCAAAGGTCACACAGGAAAGTAGTGAGAGCCGAAAATGAGAAACTATCCTCCATCTCACTCCTTTTCCTTGGGTACAAAAGGTGTCTTGCAAATGCTGGATTCGCCTATTGCTATTTATTTCTTTAAGGGTGAAAATTTTTATTGTTGCAATTGAGTTCTACCCAATTAAATTCCTGCATATTGACCTGGAAGATTTCGGTCAGGATAGAAGTGCTGTTTTAGAGGATTTGTTCTTCAGTTGCAGTGTGATTGGATGCAAAGTTGGTTTAGCTGAGCAAAATAGACTTAATGTAACAGAATTTCCACTGGGCTATGTAATGCTGAGGCTTTGCCACCTCTTTGCCATATCTGCTCCACCTGAACATTTTCCTCAGCTCTAGCTCTTTGACTTACTGAAGCATATTGTGTTAGTTAGTTAGGTCTGAAATACCTGTTCCCACAGTGCCACACTTCTGTCACAAATACAGTCTGCCTCCATGTGGGATCTCAGCTAAAGGCTCTAATTTACAGCTTTTCATTTCAGATCTCCTTTAGGATCAATACTGTTTTCAATGGATAAACTGCCCCCTTTCCCCATTTCAGATCACACTAAGTCTCTTACCTTTTTTTGTTTGCAGAGAGAAAATCAAGAAAGGTCTTAAGGATTTGGAGGAGGTGATACCAGCAGGTGAGACATATATACATGAAGGACTAAAACAGGTAGGTTTTCCTCATCTTCTTGCAATCAACACATGCTGTGTTCTCACCCTTTGGTTAACAACCTGTAACATAAATGGATTGACTGTATGCCTCGGTCTGTTATGCTCAAATCTTTCTAGTTGCCTAAGTGGTCCCAGGGTTGCCCAGACACTGTGCAAATCCCATGCAGATTAGCCATCACAGAAATTTGCCATATGGAATTTCTCTGACTCGCTCCTTCGCAGCGGAGCGCGGGTCTGTGTCGTGAATCTCAGAACTAACCCAGCATACCAATGACATGGTAAATAGTCACACGCAGCTCTGGAGGGCTGTGGGGCTTGCGGCGTCTTCTGGAGCGCTCTCCTTGGGGAGACTTTACTGCACAGAGCAGCATTTGCAAGACAAATGCTCTTAATTTTGGACTGTCTTAATTATGGAGTTCCCAACTGCTTATATTTCTCTTAGTTAAAGTATACCGCGCAGTTTTGCTGAAAGCCCGGGCCCTGAAGGTGAGGGGTAAGGTGAGGATCTAAGCTTTCACTGTTACAGACAAAGTGGTTCTTCCTCTATGCCTGTGGAACCATGTTTGTAACTGAGATCTGTGTGCTGAAAAGCTGGGCAAAGAGAATTTTGTTGCTGTTTAAAAAGAAAAAATTAGTTTAAGCCATTCTTTTTCTATCTTGGAACCTGCTGACTGCATTTGAAATCTGGGAGGTGGCAAAATAAACTGTAACAGTGGATCTGAAGAGATCTGCCCTGGAAGAAATGAGTGTTGGCAAGGACTGACGGGTTAGTGACCCCAGCGCTTTTGAGATGGCCTCACTGGCAACTGGAAAGGACCAATGAGGGGTTTCCCAGCTGGTAGTGAGCTCAAGGGAGGCAGAGAACTGTCAAGAGAGATGGGTTTGAGGATGAGGCTGAGTTATTTCAGTTGCTGTATTCGATGCTTAAAAGATGCATTCTGGTTAGAAGTTCAGGTGCAATTTTAAGCTGGATGATTTTTTTTTTGGTTTCAGGCCAATGTGCAAATTGAGAAGCAAGGAGCTTCGAGGTTCTCTAGTATCATCATTGCACTGACAGATGGCAAGCTGGATGGTCAGATTCCCTTGTATGCAGAGAAAGAGGTGAGCACGAGCTGGAAATGCACGTCATATTCTGCAAAGTTTGAGTGCTGCCTGTTGAATAAAAAAATGCTTATTCCTCTGTTCTTTTATGGGACAGGCAAGGAAATCCAGAGACCTGGGAGCGAGAGTTTACTGTGTTGGTGTCCAGGATTTTGAACAAGAACAGGTAAGAATAAGAACATTAATACTTTAGCGTACTAGGCAGTACCTGGGTTTTACACAGTTTATGTTTAGTATGGAAATTAATTTTACTTACATTAGGCAGTATAATGTCTTCTCTGGCTCAGGAAACGCACTCAGATGTGGATGCAGACATAAATAGAAAGAGTGGGTGTCGCGCTCACTGCCGAGGAGACCCGTCGGAAATCCCCTTGCTAGCTGGGAGCTGGCAGCAGAGAGGGTGCAGGCAAACCCCTCTCTTTGGGATGGCAGTCGGTCAGGGTGCTGGTTGTGTGAACAGAGGAGCTGTAGACAAGGTTCAAGCAGCATTTAACAGCCTTGGGATAAAGAAAAGAGTGTCGGATCCATGTTCTTCATTGACTGAAAGCTCTTCCAGAGTTGCTGTGTCTCAGTGAATGCTGTAGCTATGTCTGTTCCATCAAAGTGACTTAAATAGAGACGCACACAAAAGGCTCTTCCTGCTGAAGGTGCAGAGGAAGGCTTTTTAGTGGAAGGCAGAACAAACAGGGAAGGTAATTCTGGACAGTTATGAAATGACTGCCAAGATACAGGCCCTTAAAGGCTTCCTCAGCATGATGTTTGCCACCATGGCTACCCACCATTCTGTTAGCTGCAGTCAGCACTATTAAGTCCTCCTGTTTAGAAAACTCATAGTTAGCTGTGAGAGAGCTCTCAGGTTTCCTTCTCTTTGCAGAGCTGATGAGGGTTGCTTTTAGACACCCATTTACATTTAAGGGTGAAAATCAGCGTGATGAATTTAGTTTGCCCGATGATTCATGTTTGCATGTGTTTTCTCTCCAAAGCTGGAAAGAATTGCTGATGTGAAAGAGCAAGTCTTCCCTGTCACTGGAGGATTCCAAGCACTTAAGGGGATAATCAATTCTGTGAGTACCAGGCAATAGGTTTTACATTTCCTCAAGATTACAGCATTCTCCAATCCTGCTTACTTTTCTAGGTAGAACTAATTCCTAAGTCAGTAATTGCAAAAGTTCAAGTTCCCTCATGCTTAAGAGATGCAACTCTGTAAATCAGCATTGCCTGCCCCTCCTGCAGTTATTCATGCTCAGACCTCGTGGAGAGTTTGAAGACTCTCACAAGGAGAGGAGAATTCGTGCAGGAAGCTGGAGGGATGCTCTGAGGAATGGCTGCTGTGGGTTTAGTCTGGAAAAAACGGAGACTGTTTTTGTGGGAGAGTTGAGAAGAACTTGTTAAAATCCTGGGGAATAAGTGCAATTTAGGAATTGTCCAAATCTTCACATACAGAGAAACATTCTAAATACATGACTTTAACCTCTCGTTATCCCAGTGAGTGATAAGACTCAGTTCCATTTGTGAGCATGGCATGACCAGCTCCCATCAGTGAGGTGAGGCCATTCAGCTGATTACTGTGGTTTGCAAGAAGGGATCAAAGCAAGAGAAACGTTTTTTAAACTAAAGGCTGCGTATTTCATGCAAGGTTAACAGTGCTGCTGCTGCGTGTAGGCAGCACAGTGCAAACAGGCTTACTGGCAAAAGTAAAGTCAAAGTCAAAAATGGAATTCTTTTTCTGAGAGAGATCCCGCTATCATCTATTTCCCTTTCCTTTTTTTTAAACAACAAAAGGATACGACTCACATACAGGATATTACACAGTCACAAATTTATCACTTCCCTTGAGCAGTGGTTTTTGTGCATGTCATAATGCAACAACTTCTTTTCCTTCTATTGCTTAAAATAAATGTAATTTCAGAATCTTCCTTGCACATTCTAAAGAGAGATAATCAACCTTTTGATGCATTGACATTTATTCTCCTGAAAAGACAGTGCATCCCACATGGTACTGCTCAAAACCTTTACTGGTAAAAATCTCATTCTATGCCACTTGAAAGACTTAAAGGACTCAGCTATGTTGCTGGTGCAAATGATGCAACCTCGAAGCCACTAGTGCTAGGCTTATTTATGAGAGCTGAAGGTTTAGCCCCAGCTGATTATGTTATGTTTCCAAGGATACTGCTTTTCAAAATGTGTATGTCAAGGGAGAACCAGATCGAGGAGTAAAGACATTGGTGTTCAGTGTTTCCCCTCCAATGAGGGTCACTGACCTGCAGATTGGAGCCTTACGAGGAGTCAGGTCTCTCCACTACTCCTCTTGTCCTTTGAGGAAGCAGCAGGAGTGCAGCAGGAGTACAGTCCCTTGAGGAGTCTGGAATTCAAGCACATGAAGATTAGCACAAGCTGTAGGATGCCCATTCTCAGCCAAGGTGGTTTTGGGCAGTAGCAGTGCCAGCCTGCATCTTTTATACCTCCCAGGGGCTTTCAAGCACCTTCACCTGTGGGCAGTGAGGGAAGCTTTTCTGATAAGATCTGGCAGGTGGTGCTTGCACAAGCCTCAATCCAGCTTCTTCTGGCACTTGTGAAAAACCCGAGTGTAAAAATCCCAGATGTGTGCGTATCACAGCTGTAGAGCAGGACCAGACACACTGAATGGCAGCACTTTGTTTTAAGGTAACAGCTTAGCACTGACAGGAAAAGTTCTACAGCTTAAATGCAAGGTCTGCCCCTGCAGACTAAACTCATGAGTTGGTCCAGGGTTTATTTACAGCCTGCAGCTTCAACAAGCGTGGCATCACTTGGCTTTTACCACAGAGCATGGATCGAAGTATCCACAGCTATGGTTTTTGTTTTGTTTCAGTTGGATTTTTTGTGTGTGAGTTTTGTGGGTTTTTTTTTAATGCATGTGTGGTGGCTAAATTAACATGATTTTTTTGTATGCTGTACTTATAACTCAATTTTCTTTGCAGGGGTTTTGAATAATTTTGACAAATCATTCTCATAACATTATAACATTGATAAGCAGATCAAATGGAACATGAAATATTCACAGTTTTTAGTTACTATTATAAATTCATTTCAGTTTGCAAGTTAGCTAGAGAATACAGACTCAAAGAGATGCTTCTAAAAGGGAGAACTAATTTTAAACCAGATGAAAATGAGATACTCAGGTCACAAATGAGCAGGAGTATCACTCAAAGTGCAGAGTCAAAGGTGCAGTTGTGAAACCCTCCGTGAACATTGCTAAACAATTTTTGTTTAGAAAAATCACAGTTTTCAGAACTGGCAGCGGCACAGCAATTAAAACCCCTGAGCAAAACCACACCCCAGAACTGTTGAGTAGGAATGATGCAGGAGCCTCTTCTACATTGATCTCTCCAGGTGTGAGATTTTTTTGGCTGCTGTCTTGTTATATCTTGTACCCTATTCCAGGAGAGCTGAGCAGTTGAACTGCATTTGTTGGTAAAGTGATGAGCTTTATCATAGAGTGTCTGTTAGTACCTGCTCTTGCAATTGCTTGCAATCTAAGCACCTATTCCAGTTTATTTTCTCTGGACAGATACACGAAATATGTTTAATCGTGCCCAGGGATTAACATGGAAGACAGTCGAGATGAGCATTTACAGTAGCCCAGGCTTAGATGCTGGAGAGCTCGCACTGAGTTTTTGACCTTAAGTTCAGATAAAACTCCAGAGAAGTGGCAAGGGAGTGGGAAGGAACCATCGCACCATGTGTTTCTGCTGAATAACATCAACTACCAATTCCAAAGCCCTGTGCAGAACTCTGAAGAGGGGGCTGCTTTGTGAAGTTTCCCACTCTGCCAGCATTGCTAATACCTAACTTTACGAAGTCGTAACTAAACAGCATTGTCAGGGTGAATAAATCTAAGCAAAACTCTACAGCTTAAAAGCAAACTGCTGAAGGCGAGTTACTGCACTCTCAGAACAGTTACTGATGGGGTTTGGCTGGTAATTACACGGAGTGTGGCCTCGTGAGCGAGCCAGGGCAGTGTGAACTGCAAGGCTTGGGGAGGGCACAGTTCCTGTCACCATGCGGCAGTTCAGTACTAGATAAGAAAATGAAACCCTTAATTAAACACAAGTCCTGCTGATTTATGAGTGAAAGTTGTCTGGTTGTCTCTGCAGGCAGAATTGGACAAGGCTCGTGCCTTTAAAAGTTACATTAAAGGAACTCACTTTAGTAACCTTATTAGAGTGTGTGACAGCTCTAAGTAGACTTAAACACATTTTTATACTAAAGTGACTTGACAGCACTTAATACAGGAAGTTAAAATATATTTTGTACTTAGGAAAGCCCACGAAAACTTACCAGATAAGACTACAAGAACTAATACATGCAGAACTTTAGAGGAAGTAATCAGTTCAAAAAAGGGTCAGCCTAAAGTTCCTTTATCTCTCATTGCTACAATTTCTCAAGGAATCTACCCAGGAAGGATTATATGTTTCTTAAGAACTCTACCTGGGAAGGATAATAAATAGAATTGCTAAGCTCTTTCTGCTTGTTCATTTTGCGGGTGCTCGGGTTTTTTTGTTCATTTTACGTGGGAAACCCGACCTTAAACGTAGTGGACAAAACCAAAATTGATCAAGTCCTGTGAACTGAGAGGTTGGACCACCCAGAACATTGTAAATGCAAGCTAAATTGTATCCAAGTTGGCTGAGCCCTTTCGGGAAAAAATCCTAGGACTTAGCCTAAAGCTGTCAGTTTGTCCAGGAAGAGTTGCAAATTTGGATACTTAAGGATCCACCTCTTGTTGAAGGGGGGACCTGGGGAGAGAAGACCTCAGGATTTGCAGGATGTCAACTCCCAGGCTGGAGTTACTTAGACCCATCAAAGGAGTGCATCTGGGAACAGTGAGGTTGAACCAAGGATTAAACGCACCCAGGGTCCTTTAGAAACTATATTCACCACCTATACAGGGACAGGCTCTGGCTAAAGGGGTCTAAGTAGGGAGTGCTATACAAATACAAATTCTCTGCTCTAAAAGTATAAATTCTCTCTGGTAAAGCGTGGTGGGTAAAGTCTGCTTCTCTTGCAAAGAGCAGTCAGCAAAATCCCTGTGGCATTCAGATCCATTTGGACACCAGCGAAGGGTATCTACCGAATATCCTGGGGGTTTCCATGTCAGCTGGATGGCTCCTGTGTCACTCGCTGTGCATGGCAATGCATTCCTACCTTGGACTTACACGGATTGGTGACAGCCAGCTCAGTGGGGCCCGAAGGGAGCCGCTGCACAAACCGCACATGGCAGCAGCACGCTCAGCCGGTACCTGATGGAGTCACTTCTCATCTGGAGCACGGTGACACTCACTGTCACTGTGCCCCAGTGCTCAGCACAGAGAGGGGCCCACAGGCTGCTGACAGGTCTTGGTGACAAGCAGACCTGTCCCTGTTTGCCTTACTAACACAAAGTCAGCAGGGAGGGAAGCTCGCAACCTGTGTTGGACAGTGAGGTGGTGCTCGAGACGGGACAAAGCCAAAGTCTAGTGAGGGCGAGTCAGCTCTGTTGAGGTGGGCAAAGAGCTCTTTCGTGTGAGGAACAATTTTTGCCTTTAGGTTTGTAAAACTTACCGTGCTGGCTTCCCGAAGATGTGCTCCATCCTCTCTCCGTGAATCTGATGCCTTCTGCTCTAGCTGTGCTGTCAGCAGCACTTCCTCTAACTGACCTGGCTTTGGCACTGGGGGATGGGGAATTATTGAACTCACACGAGTCCAGCAGCATCTCCCATGGGTACCTGCTGTAAGGTAGCAGAGTTCATATTTATGGAGAGCAGGAAACTTACCCACTGCCACAGGTGGTGCTCCAGCTTTGGACAGTGGAGAACGCTGTTTCCATGTCCCTGACGTGGGAGCAAACCAAGCTCTGCTCTCTGAACCACTCGTGTCTCAGGGGCCAGGTTGCGCCTTGGTACCGAGCAGTAATCAGGGACTCCATGATTTTCAAGCAGTCCCTACTTCTGCCCAGCCTGCCCAGATCCCTTGAGCTGAGCTGCCTCGTACACTGCCTTGGTCACAGTGTGCTGAGGCTGCTCCCCATTTCCTTAACTGCTGC